GAGAGACAAACATCAATTGGCCGCCTCTTGTGTGCACCCCAACTGGAACCAAACCTGCAACCTAAGTACTGTAGGTGCCTCATTGAGAATTGACCCGCGACCTCTCAGTTTGTAGGAAGATGCTCTAACCAAGTGAACCACACCGGTCAAGGTGCATTCCTGTTACTTTTTTATTGGATCTTATCTTTGTGGTTCCTGGACATTTTTGTATTTCTGTAAATATTCTTGAGCTTTATTATGGAATGCAGCTTATTTGGAAATAGTTTGAGCCTTTTAGTGCTTTAAAGTTTTGTTAGGCAAGAACAGCATTTAGTACGGGACTAGTTTTGTCTCACTACGGAGGCTAAGCCCTCTGAGTGCCTTTTCCGAACTTGCCTATATCAAGGGCTTTCCTCTCCGGCTGGTGGTGGGAACAGGAACTGTCCTTGTGCTGCGATGCATGGTTCTTCTCCCACCCTTAGGCAGCCCCCTCACACACATGTGCTGTGGCTCCAGGCAGCCTGAGCAGATCTGCAGAACTTGCTGTCGGTACAGCTCCCTCCTGTTCAGACTAGGTCCTGTAGACTCTAGGTGCCCTGCGCCTCCCTGCCCCCTGTCACCCCTTCAACATGGGGGGACTGCTGGGCTCTGCCTGGGGACCATCTCTATACCGTAGTCTGGAAACCCCAGCCAGGAAGCTGAGGCAATTGTGGGCTCAGCTCATTTGTATAGCTCTCCCAGGAATCACTGTCCTTCGTCACCTGAAGTCAAGTGTCTTAGAAACATCATTTCATGTACTTTGTCTGGATGTCAAATTGTTATGGGCAGGAAGGTGAATTGGTCCCTGTAACTCCATCTTGGCTGGAATGCCCTGAATTCATAACTCAGTTCTGTGGTATAGGGGTCCATTAGATTAAAAGCCAGTTAACAGCAAACACAGGATTTCTTATGTTTGTAAATGGGGGCCCAAGACATCCCCTTCTGCTCCATGTTACCAGACTTTCAGTGCATAAGAACAAGATTATTTTCATGAAAGGATGGCTTGTTTAGTTCGGGCTTTTGGCTCTGTGTGTGCTCTTCTTAGTATTGTTAAGAAACAAAATTCAACTGAGTAAATATGGAGATCTAATTGGCTTTATTAAGCAATGTAGTGTCCCATCTAGCAACTAGAAGAGCTCTCCAGGGGGCTGTACAAAATGGAAGGTTTTTATTTAAAGATTTTGTTTATTTTTAGAGAGAGGGGAAGGGAGGGAAACATCAATACATGATTGCCTCTCGCATGCCCCCTACTGGGCACCTGGCCTGCAACCCAGACATGTGCCCTGACCGGGAATCAACCCTTTGGTTCGCAGGCCAACACTCAATCCACAAGCCACACCAGCCAGGGCCAAAATGGAAGGTTTTTAAAGGAAGAAGTGTGGGAGGAAAGGGAACTATTAACAAAGGAAAAGAAAGGATAATTTTTAGACCAAGACATCTTCTTCGAGGGGAGGATGGCAAGGGTTTTGTCATGCAGATTGTCTCTTGCTTCTTCTTCCTATGGGAAACACCATGGAGAGGGCCCAAGAGACAGAATACCTACTGGTGCTTGTCCAGAAAGTTCCAGGCTGGTTGACTGTGTTTGTGGGAGAGGTTTAAACTGCAATTAGATCAAGTATCAAATCTAGGTTTGGTATCATGGGCTTTTAGCGCAAGTGACACCATTTTGGACCTGTGGTTTTTCTCTTTAGCAGTATTAAAACTACTTATTTGTGAAGCAACCCCCTTCTTGCTGACTAGGCTTTCTGATCCCTCTGGGTTTCCTTTGTTAAAGGAGCCAGTGACTGTGTACACAGAGACACTCATAAATTGAAGGGGAAAAAACCCTGAAAAGATTACCAGATTAAGGGCTGACTACAAATAAAAGATAATTGGGGGCAGTTCCCAATTTAAAAACAAAGAAAAGGAAAGCAAAAACTAATTAGTTGCATGAACTCACAGTCATTTTCTAGATAATGATAATAAAATAGCTAATAGTTATGAAAGAATGCCCAAACCTATAGAAAAGTTTTATACAAATTTATTTGAGCCAAATTTTGGAGGACATGCCCGGAAGCAAGTGTTAAATGGATTGAGAAAATACTCTGGAGGATTGCAGCTTTGCAGCTTACTTTATACACTAGACTCAAAGACAAAGAGACACAAAGAGACCCAAAGAGAGTTACATCAAAAACACTGGGCATAGATTAAGGAGGTGGGAGAAAGCAAAGCAGGGAAATCTCTAGGACTGGAAAAAAGCAAAATGGAGAAACACATGCTTCTTTCACTGTGGTAGATACAGGAAAATTAATAATTCACATTTACAGCACAGGGAGATAGTGTGCGGGCAACAGGATAGCAACGCGGGGTTTTGTGGTCTGTCCTCTGGGGCCAGTGTTTGCCTCCGAGGAGTCTGGAAAGGAAAATCACTCTGACATTTCAAAGGCATGTTATCCTAGATGTGTAAGAACAATGGACAGAGCTCCCTTAAGCTTAAGATGGATTTTTGCTAAGGAAGCTATAGGTCTGGGATGTGACTGCCCGCCACGGCATGCCCCAGTTAGGAATTTTTATGTTCAGACTATCTGTGTGGTTATTTTATCAGGTTTATTACAGAGCCCCCTTTTTGTTCAGTTACTGAGGGCTCTATGCATTGTTCTAAGAGCTTTATGTCTTATCTAATTTAGTCTTTAACCAACTCTATGAAGTAACAGTATGGTTCTGTTACTATTCCCATTTTACACAGAGAGGTAAAGTAATTTGACCAAAATCACACAGCTAGTAAGTCATGGCCAAGACTTGAATCTGGGGTCTGGCTCCAAAGACTATACATTTAATCAACATACAAAACTGCTTTTTTTTATTTATTTTTAGATTTTATTTATTTTTAGAGAGGGAGAAAAAGATGGAGAGAGACATCAATCGATTGCCTCTTACATGCCCCCAACTGGGGCCCTGGCCCACAACCCAGGCATTTGTCTTGACTAGGAATTGAACCGGCTACCTTTTGTTTCGCAGGCCTGCGCTCAACCCCCTGCGCCAAACCAGCTGAGGCCAAAACTGCCTTTAGATAAGGTTGTTCTTAGCTTGGCGTTCTTGCTGTGCCTTGTCGTGTTTTCTTTTTTTAAAATAATTGCTGTGTGTGTGTGTGTGTGTGTGTGTGTGTGTGTGTGTAGAGTGTGTATGCATATGTTTGTATACCTGGTCATACATGCTTAAGTCAGTTTCACATGACATGAGGATGTTCAGTGAAAGTAAATCTCCCACCTGCCTTTCTTTCCTCAGACCCCCAAGTTCACCCCCTGCACCAAACCATCTCTCCAGTTTTAGGGTATCTTTCCAGAGATGCTCTTCACATGTACAAGTTTAGAAATAAATGGCAGCATACTATCCCCTTCTTCTGCACCTTGCTTTTCTCATTTAGCTTTTCTCATATTTTCAAGTCAGTCCTTTAGAGTGTTAACTTAAAAATAAAAGTGAGAGGCAACAAGCATTTGAGATCCAAAAGAACAGCTATTCAGGAAGCACTAATTCAGGCAGAAACCCAAAGAGTGATCCGATTAAGAGGTAAAAGCAAAGGGTATTTATGAGGAAGGGAAGGAGCATAATTACTTTAATAAAAGGAAGGAATTTCTGTGGGTGCTAATAAACCCAAGAGGGGATTTCTATACCAGCAGATAAGCTTACAAGCTAATTCTAAAGATGTCCTTAATTTTCAGTCTGGCAGTCATAACAAGTAGTTGTTTGGAATACCTGTTGCTTTAGGCCCAGTCCAAGGGTTGATTTGCCCAGTTCTGACATCCTAAGGGTTTGAGGAGTGAGACCAGCAAGGCAGTCCTCTGGGGTGGCAGCCCCACCTCCTTTATGAAGTGGCTCCATTTATAGTATTTTTTATAAAGTCAGTATAGAGCTGCCTTATTCTTTTGAACAGCTGCACAGGGTTCCATTGTGTGGATGTGCCATAATTTATGTACCCACGCCCCTGTTAGAGAACTTTGTTTCCAAACTTGTGCTATTAAAAATAAGACTGCAAAAAAAGGCCTTATATTTGACCACATATATGTATCACACATATGTATGCGTACATGTGACTTCTCACATGTACAATATATCTACAGGATAAATTTCTTACAGTGCAATTGCTCTGCCAAAGAGTTTGTGCTTTTGAAATGCTGGTAGCTGCGACTAAGTTGCTCTTCAGAGAGGCTATACTGATGCGCACACTCTCAGCAGCATATCAGGCTGTAGGCTTCCTCATACTCTTACAGCATAGTTTATTAAACTTTTTTCATGCTCGTGTTTTTAAAATAATGGTATGAACCCTGTATCAAAGGGTCACCTTTGTGGGGGGTGGCAGTTGTTGGTCCTTGCTAGCAAATTTGTCTGCTAGTAAAATAAGAAACAAATGAGCAAAGATTAATTCCCTTGTATTCATAATCATTTGCTCAGTTTAGTCTGCAGACTTAATATGTGCCTGATTCTGGATGCTAGAGGTAGAAAGATCTTCATTTGGTCCTTATCCCCAGGCAGCTCACTACATACAGGGAGACATGGGCGAAGTAGCTATGATATGACGTGCGTTGTATTACACATGGCTGGAGAGAATGGGATCGTGGAACAAGGGGAAATGTTGCCAGGTGTCTTAGGAAATGTTGCCAGGGACTCTTGATCATGTAAAATTCGATGGTGAGTGTCATCCCAGGAACAGCCCAGGTGGAGAGGAGAAAGCTGGGCTCCTTCCAGCGAGCCAGCGCAGAGTGCATTCGGTGAGCCTGGAAGCTCATCTGGAGGTTGCCGGGCACCTCCCTGCAGAAGTGCTGGGCTGCAGGCAGGGAATCGGCTGCCTGTGATTGGAGGGATGTTGCTGGTTGGGATAATGAACTTGGTAGTGTCGGCAGAGGTGATTGGCCGCGCCCTGCTGCAGTGAGAATGCAGACTGGATGCTCGGGTCCTCGCTCGTGTGATGATCGGTAGTTGAGCGAGGACAGTTGAATAATTGGGAGCTCGAAGTTGCTTCTGCCTCCCGGAGAGGTCTGTCGGGCGATTGCTTTTTCCTTTTTTAAAAAAGCCAAACATTTGATAACCATCCACCTCCAGAAGTGAGTTTTTATTGAAGAAGCTCCAGCTGCTCTCTGCTCGCTGCCAGCAGCCCGGCTGGGCTCTCTGAGAGTGAGCTGCTTCTCAGGCCAGGCACGACAGCAGTGCTAGCAAATTTGAAAGAGCAGGAAACAGCCACTGCATGCCGAGCTTCCAGCCTTACAGCTCCCCAGGCTAGTCCTCCCAGCAGCTGTGTAGCCAGTGACCCTTGGTATTGTGGTCACATTCCTCCTCAAAAGTGACCAGTCACCGTCAGCGACGTTGGGAGAAAGCCGTGATGCTGCAGATGCTGTGGCATTTTCTCTCTAGCTTTTTCCCTAGGGCTGGGTGCCAAGGCTCCAGAGAGGGGGACGATACCGAAGTCAGAGGCACCCCAACTCCTGCTCGGGGAGACCAGATGTCAAGCTTTTTGGGGAAACAGGACGGCAGGGCTGAGGCCACGGAAAAGAGACCCACCATTTTGCTGGTGGTTGGACCTGCAGAGCAGTTTCCTAAGGTAATGGCCCCCTCACGAGGACCTCGTAGTTGAGGGACTGGTCTAGGAACATTTTCCTGGAAAAAAACCGGAGTGTGGGGAGGAAGAGTGGAGTTATAAATCAGTCAGTTTGGTATTGGGGGGCTGGGAAGAAGAGTTAGACAATAAAGAAACCAAAATCTTCAGCCCAGAATCTCTCTGTGGCCACTGTAAAAGCTTTACTGCCCTGCTGTGACCACTCCTGTCTGGCCATTGGGGAAGGAAGGTTGAATGCAATAGACAATTTGCCTTAGATTTGTCAGTTCGGCCCCAGAAAGACATTTGAAAGTAAGGGACAAACAATTACAGTATGTCTTATGCCTTAGCATATCTGAATAATTCAGGGAGGACCAAGCCAAACGGGCAACTTTAAAGTTGAAGCAAACAGCCTGGAACTGGGCAGGGCCAGCCTGTCCTTCCTCCCGGAGGTCAGGCCCCTTGCCATGGTGGGCAGAGGGCCTTTGGGTCTGGAAGGAAGGGAGCGATCAGAGGAGAGGCTGGAGTTTGAAGGCGCAGAGGCCCTTGCCTCTCTTGGGTCTGCGGATCTGCTGAGTGCCAGGGCCTTCTGTCCATCTTGTGCCCTGAGTGTGGGTTATCTCGTCTGACCTATGCAAGAGCCAGGGTAAGTGGAGGTTCCCCCATTTCACAGATGAGGGAGCTGAGGCACGGAAAGGTTAAGTAATTTGCCCAGCAGGAGGGATGGGGGTGAGATTTCACCCTAGTCTGTCTGGAACTTCTCCCTGTATTGCCTCACTTTCCTGTAAGAAAGCAGTTTTTAATGCGACTAGTCGAGTTCTCAGGATTAGAACAGAAAGGCTGTGTGGCTGAGATTTCTCCTGCTTGCAGTAGGAGTGCTCTTGTTCACTTCCTCAGCTTTGGGTATGTTGAATCTTTTCTTTTTTCTCTGGGTAAAAATCAGCTAGAGAAGGAGATTCTACCCCATGTAGTAAAAAATGTTCATTGAATTGAATTGCCATGTTTAAGAGATAAATGTTCGTTTTTCCTTGGCTAAGTCGGGAGGGACCTTTGATGCAACAACTTTTGCTATCTTTTAAGATTGAGCATTGAGGAGAATCCTCGGTCTGTAATGAAATCGTCCTGGTTGGCAGGGATCTCTGAGTCCGTATTATGCTTCAGATGTGCTCCGAGGGGTGTCACTTTCTACCTTTTGATTATTTTAGATGAGCTCAAAAATGGCGGTGGCACAATCTTTTGTGAGGAACTTCTGTCTGCAGACCCCCTTGCCCTGTGGCCAAGGAATTAAGGGGTTGGCTGGCTCCCTACTAAAGTCGCTTACTTTTGACTTGAATAAATTAACTGCTCCGTTTTCTAAACTCATACTGGCACCTCTTGCCAGCCCTTCCCCAGGGTGGCCTCGCATCAGAACTTTCTGTTCTGGACAGCTTAGTTCCTGGCCTGCAGAATCAAAATTGATGGGGGCTGAACCTGAGACCCACACCTTTCTCTAAATGAGAAGGGAGACGGATCAGCTGGCTGTGGGGGTGCCAAGAGGGAAATGGATCAGTCGGTTTGGTTTGAAGCAAGAAAGCAAGCACAGCTGGGTGGTGTGGACTCATTAAAAGCAGACAAAGTGAGCTTTGGAAAAGTAGGGACGGGTCTGCAGCCCATGTCCTTCTCCAGCACAGCTCCTGTTGAAGGTGGGCTTTGGGGCTTATGGTCACTGCCCGATGGGGCCTGGCCTCCCACTTTTTCTCAGAAGGAGGCTCCCCAAACATCAGGGAGCCTTCGAGAGCAGTTCACATTGGTTCCCAGGCTTCTCAGTTTCTCAGCTACACGACTTTGTTTGGCCCTCACTTCCTCTGTCTAAATATGTCTGCTAGTGAGTCAGGTGCCTGCGAGCCTTTTCTCTAGGATCTGTTCCAGTTTCCCCTTCATCTTCACCTGACAGCTAATCTGCCGTTGCAGAAGAAAGCCTTGAATCTGGAGTGGGAGGCACCCTCAGCGCCATCCATGCGTTCAGATCCTGAGGGGCCGTCTTCTCAGAAGCCCAGAGAATTTTGTTTATTGTGTGTCTGATGGCCAAGTGTAGGCAGGTTTCATTGGAAACCGGCTACATGGGGCTGTCATGGCAACCTGACGGTCAGATGGCACTGTGGCCCCAGCAGCAAATGAGGTTCTTGGGAGCTATGCGGGTGGGTGGGGCTAGAGCTACCTGATGCTGGCAAGGCTCCTTCGCATATTAATATTTTGGCTTGCTCTGAGTCATTGCAGAGGAGGGGGGAATACTTTATGACCTAATGCTACACTCCCTCAGGTAGTCTACCTGCCCTGGTCTTGCTCTGGGTATTCTGGCACTTACAGGAAGCACCTGTTCTGCGGGCATGAAGCAGAGTGATAGAACAAGGAAAGCTTGTGGTACCATTTGCCGATCTGAGGATGAGAAGACACTCTGGGAAGAACAGCCCAGAGTCCCTGAAATCTGATACCACTAAATTCGTAGGGCTCTAGAGTTGCTGTCATTGTTCCCGAATGCTAATTGTTATGGAGAGGAAACAAAAATAGATCTGGGTCACAAAATTAGAATTAAAGAGCAGAAGGATGGTGATGAGAGGAGGGGGAGAGACAGCAAGACACATGGGCTCTTAAAGAGCCTGAGCTGGTGTGAAATGTCGGGAACGAACACAAGCCTTGCTTTAAGTCTTCCATATTTGTGTTTCTTGTATGTGTTCAGAAGCAGCGACACAGATATGTTTCTTTCGTTGTTTTTTAGCTACGACTAAGCTTAAACTTGCTCAGGTTATGCCTTTCCCACACACCTGCCACCTTCCAGTGAGGTGCTGCTTACCTTAGTTCTCTCAGTGTCAGCCTGGCAACGGTTCTTTAGAAGCTAATTCTAAAATCTCCTTTTGGCAGTGTTGGGTTTGGGTGCTGTTTTAAGTGGCCGTTGTAACAAGAGTCGGGCCCTAGATAATTCCAGGGACAAAGCATTTAGTTTGGACACTGGGCATCTGGAGATTGTCTTACTTGGGAAGGAAGAATCCCCAGTTTCTACGTGAAAATGGAGTTCTGTGTGACTGTGAAACTCAGGATGGGTGGCTATACACCAGATCAAGTTTGTCCAGTAAAGACACTCTGTTGGACTTGATCACAGCTGCATCGTAACAATGTCGTAACTGCTTTTAAAAATTAACATTGGAATAGGATTCATGTTGGCATTGAAAAATAACATCTTGGTAAGCACAAGCAGAATTTTTCAGAAAACTTTTCCTGATACCGTTGGTCCGTGAAGTAGTAAGCTTTGTTATAATCAAGGAAATTCCATTCTATTTTCTCTAGAAAATGGTTGCTCTTCTTATTGGATTAGTGTTTTAATAATTTTTCCTTATATATCAAATATAGGTTTCCCTTTTATTTGATACTGTTTTTAAATCTGTTCTCTGATTTGTCTTGTAAATACATCATAAAACTCAGTAGTACAAAAAGAAAAAACCCAGTGGTACAGTAACCAAAATTACTTGAAAAACATAGTGTATTAGGAAATGAACAGCTCCAGTTGACTATTTATTCGGTCAAAATACTTGCTATTTAGAATGACTGAAGCCATCGCTGAAATGAAACACTTCAACAGCTCTAAGTAATTTATTTTTGTTTCAGAAGCAAATGTAAATAATTTAACGAAGGAACATCAGCATTTTAAAATTCAGCTGTATTATTTATAGATGTGAACCTCCTCTAAAATAAAAATAATAATGCATTATCTTGTTGAGATGGATGACATTGACATTGGAGCCTCAGAGGCCTGCCAGGCCTGATTCATTCTTTCAGAAACGGCTTATATCCAGCACCTTCCATGATCAAGGCAAGAGCGCCTTCTGCACCAGGAGGTACCAGTGTTTGAAACAGTAGTCTCCTGCCTTCAAGAATCCCAACTGTAGAGATAAAAATAGCCCCAAAACAGAACATTCTGGATTAGACAGTTTAGTGTTGTGGGGATTATTTAAGTGGTAACCTGCCCGAGCTGTCTCTGGGTAGCTGATTGGACCCACCCTAGTGAAGCCCAAGGTCATAATGTTTATATAGACTCATCGGCAGATCTCCTGTAGAGAGGCCGAAATGTCATAGAAGTTCATGAAATCCGCTTTATGCTATACAGCGTGAGCTTCATCATCTTATTTTTAAAAGCCTTTTTTCAAGTTTAAAGTCTTCACAGAAAGCTTTTTAGCAACGTAAGAAATTCCTTTTACTGTGGTTGACCCCCACAGGGTAGCCGCCAGTTTTTATCCCTCCTGCGAGCGCGAGTCGGTCTATATTAGGAAGTGGTGCGTCGGAGCAGGAACAAGCCAGCCCGACTTCCTTTTCATCTTCGTGACGTGCTCTCTTCCTCCTTCCTCCGCAGCACGAATCTCTGACACTTTCTGTGGGGAAGGAGTGAGGGAGACGTAGGCTCCCCTGGGGAGGATCACCCTGAAGCGAAGATCAAGTCGTGACTTCCAGGGCCCTGAGATTTTCTCTCATCCTTACCTCAGAGGGGCGTTCTAGAGCTTTCTGTGATGGTGGAGGGGTGAAGTTGAGTGCCTGCAGCTGTGGAGCACTAGAGAAGGAACTGAATTTTTCTTTTAATTTCATTTAATTTAAAGTTTCACCACATGCCTGTTGAACAGCGCAGTTCCAGGCTAGACAGCTAGTTACACCGGACTGTCCCGTGCTCTGAGGGAACGGGGCGCTGAAGACTACCGCGCGGGTCTCAGGGAGGCCCTGGCTGCCCCCACGTTGATGCTGCCCGGATGTCCCTTAGCTCAGTGACCTTTTAGCCTGAAGCGTCCTCATCCGCCCCGTCATTTCGGCTCCTCAGTCTGTGGGATCCCCGGGGGATCCCGCCTGCAGGGGACTGGGTGGGCTCACAGGTGGGTGGCCTGGGAAGGGTCACCGGAGCCCATCGGAGCTGTACCTAGAAGGCTGTGGAGCCAGGCGGCCCGAATCCAGGGCTCGGCCAGCTGGGGCAGGCAGCTCGCTGCGGATGAGGAGGCCACGGTGTGGCCACTTCATCGGTGGCTGGGGACCTGGCCCTCCGCCACCCCACCCCGCACTTCTGCCCTCACAGCTGAACTGGGCCGTTGTCAGTGACCATTGATTCGGCCCCTGCGTCCACTTATTTTCCCGTTGGGAATGATTGACTAAGGGGAGAAAATCGTCGTATTGTATGACGTATTTGGAGACCTTGTGAAAAAACAGGCTGAAGGCCATTTGTTCGTTTGGCGGGGTTGGCAGCCTGAGGGCGAAGGGTTGCTTGGACTGGAGACAGGGAAGGCAGCGAGCTCTGCCCCGTCCTGGAAGAGTTAACTCCGGGAACGCAGCCGAGCGTGACGGCAGCCCAGATCTTTGCGTCTCTCTCTTGAGCAATCGAGGGCTTTGTGCTCATTGGCTGCTGGCGGGACTGAGAGGAGCCGAGTTTCTTCTTAAGTCAGAGGGCGGGGCCTACGCAGCCAATGACTGCGGCGCCCCGGCAGGTCCTGCGCGCTTTGCCGGCCGGCCTCGTTCCCGCTCTCCCGCTGCCTCCACTGCTCCCGCGGCCGGCCGCTGAGCACCGGCTCTCCTGCCAGCATGCTCTGCCTGTGCCTGTACGTGCCGCTCATCGGGGAGGCCCAGACCGAGTTCCAGTACTTCGAGTCCAAGGGGCTTCCCTCGGAGCTGAAGTCCATCTTCAAACTCAGTGTCTTTATCCCCTCCCAGGAGTTCTCCACCTTCCGCCAGTGGAAGCAGGTGTGTATGGGTGTGTGTGGGGGAAAGACAGTGCTGGTTGCGTGAATGGATGAGTGCTGGTGGGAGAACACTTGTGAAATGGGAATTTTTTTCCCGGTCGTCATGTGGCTATAGCTGGTGAAAGGGCTACTTCACGGGAATGGCCACCTTTCATGTGACTTCCAAGGAAGGCTTGAATTATAGGGAAGCCACTTGTAAGAGAGATGGAAAGGAATTCTCTTGTTGGGGGTGGGAGTGGGGTTCCTGAGAAGGGGGTACAGTCCAGCTGCTGTGGGGTGTTTCTCTGAGCTGAAGGGAGGAGGACAGGAGGACACAGCAGGAGAGAGGCTGAGAGGCTTCTTACTGGAGGCCCAGGAGTGGGGACCGGAGCTGCGGAGGCTGGAGCTGGCCCGGCTCTGCCCGGGGGGAAACAAACCAATGTGTGAGGTTGGCGGTGGGGGGGTGGGGGGCAGACGCCCCTTTGGAGCAGGGAGGCAGCAGATATCATTACCATTTTAAAGACAGGAAACAGCTACAGGCTGTGGAGGTTGCTTGCCTCCTAAAGTGCTACCCCAGCTTCTATGTTAATCCAATTCCATGCCCTCCCCCAGTGCTCGTGGTGGCAGGAGTCAGATGGTTACAGGGGATGGCGATCTGCATATCCTGAGAGGGGGACAGAAATAGGACCAGTTGTTCTGCGGTAGAAGCAAGGAGTTGGAGATCATTTTGAAATCATTCCCTGAGCACTCCTGTATCACAGGGCACCCACCCCAGCAAGGTGACTGGTTTGCGTTGGTGGCAGGGCAGCCAGATACCACAGTGCTTTGTTCCCACCATTCACCTCCTCCCTAAACAACATGTGGAGTCTGTTTCCGCCCCTGCCATAAATCTAGAGCACAAATGTCTCAGGAAGTTAACATAACTTCAGATAGTAGATAAAATACCAACATTGGTCTCACATTCCAGCCACACCCATTGCATTGTTCTTGGGACCATGTTAGGTGACATGGTATCTGCCCAGGCCTCCTCCTAGCACCTTGGTGGCTAAGCAGTCATAGAGAGCAGTCACATGGTTCAGAGGGAGACTGATTAAAATCATTGGACAGCCAGTGGTCTGTCAGTTTCCAACCCCATTGGTCAAAAGACTTTGAAACCCATATTGGTTTGTAGATAGTGAATGGATTCTCACTGCGAGAATTGGTAGACACAGGAAGATTATAAGCATCTTCCTTAGGAAATTTTTGTTCCTACTTTTGGGGTGTTGCTGGGTTGGAGTGACTCATGTATGTCCCCCACCTTCTTGAGATTAATCTTTTGGGTGGCAGCAGGATCTCCAGGGAGGTGGCCTAGGAGTCCAACAAGCCGGGCTTGAATCCCGCCCACCACTTCCCTAGCTATGTGGCCTAGAATAAGTGACTTAACCTCTTCAAGCTTCTGTTTCCTTCACTGTAAAATGGGGGAAGTGATAGTGCCTACTTCCTAGAGCTGATTGTGAGGATTCAGCAGGTTACTAGAGGTAATGCATTCAACAGGACCGATGGCTTAGAACCCAGGCCCGCAGGGTCTCTTCAAGCCTCTTGGGTCACTAACCTAAGTAGCAGTCCCCTGCTGGTCAGCACCTAGTTGAGGGAGCTGAGGTTGGTTATATCATCAGGCTATCCCGAGACCGGAGACTGGCAGCACCATCAAGCAAGCACATGCCCAAAAATAGTTGCCGGGGGCTCTTACTGCTTCTCCAGCCTCGAGTTCTCTCTGGCTGCCAAGCAGGCATTGGCAGGGGCCACCTCTGCCCCATACCTTCAGCCGGGCCACCCGACTGTTCTTGGGCCACCGCCACTTGTAGGGATAAAAAGAGCACGCTCAGAGTTCCCTGGTGGAATCTGGAGCTCCAAGGCTATCCTCACACTTGGGCAGAGAGCATGTGGGCTGAGGCCCAGCGCCAGGGATAGCGCCGCAGGGGAGCCAAGCAGCTGACCCTGGTGGCACAACGAGTTGGTCTATAGAACGCAAGGAATGAAAACTCACCAAGCCTGCCACTGCTGGCCTCTGACTGAAGGACTCCTTGAGGGGGCAGGGTGCGGGGGAGGGGGGGCACCATTTCCTCTTTGCTTGTGAGGGAAGCAGGGTGGGCTCATGCTTGGGTCCTGGCCAACCCTCAGCAACGGGAGCCTCTTGGGTGACTAGGGCCACCTCTTTTCACAGGTTAGCACAATCGTTTCTGGGAAACAGGGCAGCACAAGGGACAAGCTAGTGCATGAGCTAAAAGACAAAACCTTACTTTTATTTCGTAGAAAATTGTGCAAGCTGGCGATAAAGACCTCGATGGGCAGCTAGACTTTGAAGAGTTTGTCCATTATCTCCAAGATCACGAGAAGAAACTGAGGCTGGTGTTCAAGAGTTTGGACAAAAAGAATGATGGTGAGTGCTGCCTCGAGCCAGCGGCTGGCCTGGCCTTGGGCGCTCCCTGGGCCTGGCTCCCAGCTCACGGCTTCTGTCGCTGCAGGGCGCATCGACGCTCAGGAGATCATGCAGTCCCTGCGGGACCTGGGGGTCAAGATATCCGAACAACAGGCAGAAAAAATTCTCAAGAGGTGCGTGCTTAGCCCGTCTCTGTAATTGGTGTAACGAAACTATCATGAAAGGAACGCTCGTGCACTAACTCTGGTGTCATTCTCTGTATTACTGACTCCGTTCTCCTAACTCCGGCTTCTGGTAGTTTGGAAGGATGAATAAGTAACCCCTCCCCACGTTTCAGGTCAGCTCTCATTTGAAGAATCACTAGTCACCTGGAAGTGTGCCCGATCACCAGTGACCCTGAAAGAGAAAAGAGTAGTGGCGGGGGGGGGGGGGGGTTCGTGGTTCAAGTAGGTGAAAGGTGAGCGAGGAACACCCTTCTTTACCTGGTCATAAAGGGAAGGGGGCTCACGTGGCAGCCCTCCACTTCAGGTGCACACAACACCATAATCACGTGTGCTGCCCCCAAAGCAGGCTGAAGGGGAGCGGTGGTCCTGGGGGGTGGCACAGCTGTCACTGTGCTGGGAAGTCACATAGGGTAGACCTAGGAGCAGTTCCCTCTCCTGGCTGAGCCTCTCCGCATCACTGTGCCCTGAGGCCGGCTGGTCGGGGACAGCAGCCTCCTGTGCCCGCTCCCCGGCTGCCATGGGGGGTGCGTCCTCGTGCCGTGCTGCGTGGCTGTCTCACTAACATCTGCTTGGAGCACTTATTTGTGTTGTTTCTCCTCTCTCCTCTGCATCCTCCTTTGTCTGTCTGTCAGAATACGGACGGGCCACTTCTGGGGCCCTGTCACCTAGTAAGTATCCATGTCACCCTGGTGACTGCCTCCATCCTTCACCTCTGTGCCTGATCAGAATGGGGTTCTTGTGGGCCATTTATGCCATTTTTGTGCAAAGTGAGGTGCGGAGCCACCTTGCCTTCTTCTCATCGGGGCAGAGGTGCCCTCGGCGGCCACAGGCCTGCCCTTGGCTCACCTGGAGGAGGGAAGTGCTGCTGACAGGTGGGGCTTCTTTACACATGGGCAACCGTGCGTTCCTCTTGCAGCATGGATAAAAATGGCACGATGACCATCGACTGGAACGAGTGGAGAGACTACCACCTTCTGCATCCCGTGGAAAACATCCCCGAGATCATCCTGTATTGGAAGCATTCCACGGTGAGCCCCGTGCTCCTACAGCCTGAAGGCGGTTTCTCCCTTGTCTGTTCACAGGGTCCGCTTCACCCAGCATCAGTCCCCATCCTGGGATGGGGAGGGGGGTGGGGGTGGCGGTCCCAGCTTGCTTCCTTGTCAACAGCGAGACTGTCCACTCTTCTGCCAGCCGCACGGGGCCCTCCGCATGCCCCCTCTGTCTCCCATTTTCCAGCCCACCCGAACTCCCTGACCATTCCCCAGACACATGGTTCCCCTGACAAAGGTGCCCCCCTGTCCCCATGGGCTGCCTGTTCTTCAAGGCCCACTTCAAGCACCCCTCCAAAGCCAGTGAGAGTCTTCCCCGCGAAGGGCTCTCTCCGGGGAACAAGTGGTATTATCGCTCTATGTTTCTACCCCCGCCATCCCCCTTTGTGTGCTGTTTCTCTCTATGGCAGAAGAGTATGTTCCCAGCATCCCACATATGCTGCTCTTTCACCCTGTCGGAGCTGTGGCTGAGAAATACAGATCGGAACCCTCACTGGCAGGGGCCAGATGGAGGCCCTGCCCTCGAGCCCCTTTCTTGCATCCCTCCCTGCCGGTCTTGGCCAAGCACCCCCCAATTTTAGCGTGATATGCCTGGGCTGTCAGCTCCAGGAGGGGAGGCTGCGGGACTCCCCCGGCCTGTCTCCTGCAGTGTCCAGGCCAGGGTCTCCCCTTCAGGGGACGCCTGGTTCTCTGTTGGGTAAAATTATGCAGACCACTGACCCGTGGGTCTGGCCTGCAGCCCGAGGCCAGCGCCAAACTGGCTCTGTCTGACCAGCCGGGATGCCACTTGGAAGGGAGGGCAATGCACAGTTGCGGCCTTACATAATGTTCTGCCAGCGCGATCCGGTTACACATCGGGTTTCAGGAGAATTCTTACCCCTGACTCAGTCGCTTCAGTGCAGCCAGCCTGGTGATCCTCCGCTGGAATGCCTGTGTAAGCTGTTCTGGCGGGAGCTCCCTGGCAGCAACAGCCAGGCTGTCTGCAGGGTTTTGTAACTGTTTTCTTCCAGCTGTGCTCTTACATTCTGTACCTGGGCCTCTCCAAGGCCACAGACAGGGACCAGAGTTTTGCCACCTTCACAGTGAGGGGGGAGGTGCATCAGGTGCCCACCCACAGTTCTTGGCGTGCTCACCATCTGGGTGGCTCCTCGGGGTGTCAGCCATCCTATACGGTGGAACATTATGGACCTAGCTGTCCACCAGCAGCTTTGCCACAAGCATCAGGGCCTGTTTGTTTGATGCTTTGTTGATCTTCCTTGCAGATCTTTGATGTAGGTGAGAATCTGACAGTCCCTGATGAGTTCACAGTGGAGGAGAGGCAGACCGGGATGTGGTGGAGACACCTAGTGGCCGGAGGTGGGGCTGGGGCCGTGTCCAGAACCTGCACAGCCCCGCTGGACAGGCTCAAAGTGCTCATGCAGGTAGGTGGGAAAGTAGGCCTGAGCCTCCTGGTGTCCACCCTGCGGTTCTGTGGTGGGCTGGTCTCCCACCTTTGTCTAAGGCCCTGCTTTGGGCCCATATTTTTCTGTCCCAATACACTGGATTGGAATTACTGCTCGAACAAAGGCAGTGGTATGTCCAGGCCTAGGTAACCTTTTGCACATAGCTGATCTAATTTTATCTGAGGCCCTTAAGTCAGGGGCCACACTGCAGGGTATAATGTGGACAGATGAAGCCTGTGAGAACAGGGTGTGGCAAGAACCTTTCTGTAGGCACTTCCTCACACACAGGGGAAGGTGTGAGCACACGCTCACCTGGCCCAGGCACCTTGACTCCATGTCCGCAGGGCAGAGATAAGCTAAGCCAACGTCAGGGGCAGGGTTGCAAAATCACCCGGCACAAGTGTGCGCTGTTGGACTTCAGCACCTTCTGAACAGTGGCCAGTTGCCCCTTGTCCCCACGCTTGTTCTGGCACTTTCCTACTCAGAAAGGATGTCATCCTTCTCTTCGCCCTTTGCTCCCCTGGGCCTGCCTTGGTTTAAAGCCTGTTGAGGAGAGTGTGGCCACCCCACCCCAGGGGCACAACTGTGTGAGCCCAGGCGAGTCGCCTGATCCCCAGGACTTATTCCTTTGAGCCAAAGGGCTTGTATCACCGCTCTCGTCAGTTTGTTTCGTCACCAACTTCCCAGGGATGCTGTAGATATTGAAAGCATTTCACTTGGGTAAAATGAGCCTATCCTGCCATATACTTTAAAGTAATCCAGCGGGGGTGGGGCAGCGCGGGGGCAGCTTGGCTCTGGTTTCATGGTTGTGGAAGCTGACCATGGCTTCCTGGGCGCTCATTGTATAATTCTCTGTACTGTTGTACATACTTGAAATTTTCCCATAATAAAAAGCTCAGTTTTTTAAATTTTATTACAACACAGTCCTTGTGGAGGTGTTTAGCACAATGTTGGCACACAGTGGGTGCACAGTGAGACCCAGCTGGACCTAGAGTAGCCGCATTTGAGTCTCACAGCAGTACAAGCGGAAAGAGCCTGCCTGTCGACCGTGGTGGTCAGCCAGTGAGAACAAGCGCTTTGTAGGATGGCAGCCGCCCTGTGGCCACTGAGTTCTTTCTGACCGTTTGTCTTTCCCTCCTCAGGTCCATGCCTCCCGCAGCAACAACATGTGCATCGTGGGCGGCTTCACCCAGATGATTCGAGAGGGAGGGGCCAAGTCACTCTGGCGGGGCAACGGCATCAATGTCCTCAAAATTGCCCCCGAGTCGGCCATCAAATTCATGGCCTATGAGCAGGTGAGGACCTGGTTCCCAAGGGAAAGTTGTCGGTTGGTGGCCACCTGCTGAGCTTCCCCTGGGCTGAGGTCTCTGCCCCGCTGATGCCCCAGAACCTGCACCCGAGGGACAGCAGGGCAAGGCAGAAAGTGGGAGTAAACAGCTCTGCTGCTGTTTCCACTGTGAGCCAGTTCCTTCCGTTCTTGGGAAGCATCCCCTGGGCCAGGGACACTGTGCTCCTCTGAACCTGACTGGTCCTGTGAGGAAGGGTGGGGCAGGGGTGGGTGCCGGGTCTCTCGGGTGCATCAGTTGTTTGCTCCCTGTTGTAGATCAAGCGTCTTGTTGGGAGTGACCAGGAGACTCTGAGGATTCACGAGAGGCTTGTGGCAGGGTCCTTGGCAGGGGCCATCGCTCAGAGCAGCATCTACCCTATGGAGGTGAGGGGCTGCTGTGGTCCCGGGCAGTGTGCGTGGGCTTGAGGGAGAGGGGTGGGCCGTGCTCACGCTTCTGTCACTTCGGTTGGGTTCTGCAGGTTCTGAAGACCCGGATGGCCCTACGTAAGACAGGCCAGTACTCAGGCATGCTGGACTGTGCCAGGAAGATCCTGGCCAGAGAAGGGATGGCAGCCTTCTACAAAGGCTATGTTCCCAACATGCTGGGGATCATCCCCTACGCTGGGATCGACCTCGCTGTCTACGAGGTGAGGCCCTAGAAGGCTCAGGCCCCTTGAACTGATAGAAGATTCAGAAACCCCCTCCTCATCACATCCCTGCCTGTTGTCTTCCTGCCTGATAGACCACCAGCAGTGGCTGGGACAAGGAACCAGCACCAAAGAGTGTCTCCTTCAGACTCATCTGTTCGTTACAAGGGCCTCCTGCCCCCAGCCGCTCCCAAATTCTGCCCCCTAGAGGCTTGGCAGAGGGATCTCCAGAGCATGATGCTCCTGGAGTGCTGCCCCTGCCTCATCTCCATTTCTTGACCTACCTAGGAATCCCCAGTGACAGCAGAAACAAAGGGCAGGCAGGCCAGGAGAATCAGGTTACAGTGGCTTCAGGGATCCCACGTGATAGGGATCCAGTAGCTGCACCGCCCCCGCCCCCACCCCAGTCCCCCAAGCGTCTCACTGCCTCACAAGCTCCCCTGGGGCTCACAGGCACTTAGGCTCACCCCTGCACCCTCTCCCCTTGCAGACACTCAAGAACGCCTGGCTGCAGCGCTATGCGGTGAACAGCGCAGACCCTGGGGTGTTTGTGCTCCTGGCCTGCGGCACCATGTCCAGCACCTGTGGCCAACTGGCCAGCTACCCACTGGCCCTGGTCAGGACCCGAATGCAGGCCCAAGGTAAGGCTGGACCCATCTCCCTGGGCAGGTTGGGATCCAGGGAGGAGCTAGCAAAAGGCCTCTGACAGACAATCTCCGTCCCTGCAGCCTCCATTGAGGGCGCTCCAGAGGTGACCATGAGCAGCCTCTTCAGACAGATCCTGCGGACCGAGGGAGCCTTTGGCCTGTACCGGGGGCTGGCACCCAACTTCATGAAGGTGATCCCAGCCGTGAGCATCAGCTACGTGGTGTACGAGAACCTGAAGATCACGCTGGGCGTGCAGTCTCGGTGACGGGAGGGAGGCCAGTCCCGCCCGGCGGACTCACAGATCCTGGGCCTGCAGCCCCGGGATGTGTAGCCATCTCATTCTGTGAATGTGCCGACACTAAGCTGACTTAAGCCAAGCTGTGAAAACCCTGGGACGCACCCACAGGGCGGGGGGAGAGCTGGCAGGCCCCCTGGTTTGTCCTGCTGACCACGGCCAGCCCTCGTGCCTGTCCCAGGGAAGACCCGTGGGTGTGCCTCAGGCCCAGGGGTCAGCAGGACACAGGCTTATGCGCAGTAGGGACAGGACGTTTCCTGCAGGGTCTGCCAAACAGCAGGGCTTGAAGGCCGGCTTAGTTCTTCCATCTTTTCCTCCTGCCCAGACCGTCGGCCATGGGCTCTTGCCCCCAGCCTGCTGGGCATCTTCGCCGTGCCCACTTTGCTTCTTCCTCACTGCTGTTTTCATATGGTAGGAGGAGGGCTACAAGCCCACTCCCACGGCCCACCTCACTCCTCTCCCCTCAGTCTATGGAAGGGGGAGGGTTGCTTCCACCTGACCTCGCGACCCGGACTTCCCCGGCGCACAGCATCGCCTGTGGCTCGGTCGCACGGGGAAGAGGGAGGAGGCTGGCTGTGGGCTCCCCCTCACCTGGGCGCTGACATGCGTGTGCATGCAGGGGCAAGGCCCAACCCCGCCATTGGCTGCCTGGTGCCTGGCGCATGGCTTCCCGGGAGGCTTGTGCTGGTCCTGAAACCCAGAGGCCCCTGCTCTGCGGCTGGGGCCTCCTGGTGCTCTGAGCTGGCCCTGGAGTTGTGCAGGGCTGGCCTGAGCTCAGAACCCATCTCTGTTGCTGCGGCGGCAGGAAGGCAGTGGGGCCCAGCGTTGTCGTGGGAAGGCCAGTTTCTGCCCCATGTCTGCATGCCTGGTGAGAGAAGGAGAAGGGGTCAGTGGCCTTAATTGTAAATTGTTGGAAAAGGGGCTCTGTTCAGAAAGACAAGCCGGACAAATGTGCAAGTTTCGTGCTTCCAGAGGGAAAACAAAGCAAGTAGCTTGGCTGACTGCATTAAAGTCTTTCTGACGCCCCTGGGGATGTGTGTCCAATCCCAGCTGGGGCACAGCGGGACCAGCCTCACATTCCACTGATGCACCCTGTCACACCGCTTGAAGTCTATTTATTTCATATTTATTTGAACAGAGTTATGTCCTAACTATTTTTATAGATTTGTTTAATTAATAGCCTGTCATTTTCAAGTTCATTTTTTATTCATATTTATGTTCATCGTTGATTGTACCTTTCCAACACCCGAGAGGTGGGCTGAGGAGAGAAAGAGTGGCTGTGGGAGCGACCTTCAGCCACTGCCCGCCCGACAGAAGAAGGGCAGGGTGGGGCGGGCCTGCACCCAAGAAGCCTTAGGATCTGAGGGTTTGATTGGGGGCGGGACAAGCAGGAGAAGTCTCAATTGCATTAAACATGGAAGTCCAAATCCTCTTTCGGACCAGAAGGATTTCTGTATTTCCCCCTTTCTGAATGCCAGGGCAGCGCGGTGCCTATCACTGTGAGTGTGAGAGGGGGGTCAGCGGAGAGGGTGGCCAGCTCCCCGCCCCACCTGTGAGGCGGGCGTCTCCCCCCCGGCTCCCCCACCTGCTGCCCTGCTCATTAGCGCCGGTCGGCCTGCAGCCTCGCAGTTGCACTTTTCATTCCACCAGAATGGCCCAGTGAGGACAATTTAAATAGGATGCAAAGATCAATGCAAAACTTACTGTTATATATAAATATACTTATAACTGGAATTGATGAAAAAGCAAATTAAGAATTGGAAGTTGTCATTTAAAACAGCCTTCTAATAAAGTTTCAAAGCTGATGATAGAGCCGATTTTTCTGTCTCGACTTAGGTGGTGTGGGGTATTGACATGTTAGAAAAAGAACCCAATTTTTTCATCATAGAAAACAAGAAAGCCACCCCCTCTGGGTTTCTCAGAGACACTCCCTCTGTCAAATGCACGTTGTTGGGTTTGGGGTGCTGTCCCTCTTTCTGACTCAGATGCTGAAATCCCACTTTACTTTCTGTCTGTCACCCCAGGTCTGTGTGTGCAGCCCTAACATAGTGCCCGATGCCCAAAGTACTCAATAAAATGTTCCTTAAAGAATGGCCCACAGTCTGATCCCCTGGTAGCCCTGGGTGCCGCGGGTCGGGGACAGCACGAAGCAGCTTGGGGAACCTGCTCAGAGCTCTGACATTCAGAGGCTGTAGGGAGGCACGGAACTGTGCCCATGGGTGAAACTGGCACATAGCGTTTGTACCAGGTTGAATAGTTGCCCCTCCAAATTTGTGTCCGCTAATAAAGAATGTTGCTTTATTTGGAAATAGGGTTTTGCAGATGTAGTCCAGTTAAGACAAGGTCACACCAGATTAGGTGAAATCCAGTGGCTGGTGTCATACAAGAGGGCAACTTGGACAGCCACCCAGCAGAGACGTGGAGGGGGCGGTGACGGCAGCCGGCTGTTGGAGTGCCGCGCCTGCCGGAACTGCCAAGGGCTGCGTGCTGGCAGCCACCTGAACGGAGAGGAGAGGCGAGGACAGTTTCTCCCTCGGACCCTCCGGAAGGAACCACACCTCCAGCACCTTGACTTCAGACCTCCGGCCTCCTGAACCAGGAGGGAAGGGCTTTCTGCTGTTTAGGCCCTCCGAGTTGGTGGTGAGTTGTCAGCCCCGGCAGATTAATGAGTCATTTGCCTCTGTTGTTTGGGTCAGGGTCACAGGCACGGATCATTTCTCAACCACTGGGTCTTGGCAAACTGCCCCCCCCAGACTGTCCCATCCTATCCAATCCTCCCCTTGGGACAATGGCCTGGGTTCCTCCCAGATGCTCAATTCCATCCCTCTGGGAGAGGGGCTTCCCCAGCACCGATGTTAACTGTGGGAGGTGCTGGGAGGAGGCTGCCCCTCTGAGCCCCTCCCAGCCTGCCTTCCTACCCGCCTGTCCCCTTCCTATGGAGAAGGCCTGCCCCGCCGCCAACCCAGGCCTTCATTTCTCAGCGCATTTCATCCTCAACTCCACTTGTTCTCTTTCCTTGGTTTATCATGTTTCCCCCCAGAGCCCGGAGGATTTGTTGGCTCTCTTCCCTGCTCTTCCCAGCGGGTGCCAGGCATCCACTCAGCGCTTAATGAATACTTTCTAGTTGAATGAAACCCATACAAAAGTTTCATGGTGTGGCAGGCAGAAGTACGCCCCCTCCCGAGGGCATCCGTGTCCTGGTCCCCAGAACCTGTGACTTAGGTGGCATGGCCAAGGGGTTTAAGGCTACAGATGGAATTAAGGTTCCTAATCAGCTGACCTTAAAAGAGGGACATGAGCCTGCATGACCTGCGTGGTGCCAGATAAGCCCCAGGTCTGCCTCAGTATGGAAGAGGGAGGCGGGGGAAGAGCCCAGAGAGGTGGTGCAAGGAGTCTGCCCAGGGCCCTGGCCTTGAAGGCAGAGGAAGGGGCCACAAGGTCAGGAATGCAGGCAGCTCTAGCAGCTGGAAAAGACCAGGAATAGATTCAACCCTGGAGCCTCCGGAAGGGACACTGCCCTGCTGATCCCTGATCTGAGCCCGGTGGGCCGCACTGTGGACTCCAACCTCCATATTTGCCTGGACGGGCTACTTGGAAAGAGTCGAGATGACTTTGGAAATGGCTGGTCCTTAATAAGTAGTTTCTTCTCCCAGGTCCCCTCCCCTTCCAGGATTCCAAAGACACACAGTAATTTCCACCAAAATGCTTTCCATTCCAGCCTCCCAGTGAGGAAGTTCATGTGGCGCAGGGATCTCTGGCATCTGAGGGGAAATCCGCAGCGGAGAGCAGGGTGTGGGCGGGGAAGCCACTTGTGCTGTGCGGAGTGTGGTCTTCAACCTCCTTCCTGAAGCTAGAGATGAAAGGTCGACTCTAAATCCTGGGAGCAACATTAATGGGGCACCAGCTGGGGCACTGCCCACGCAGGACCTCGCTTAGCCCTCAGTGGTTCTAGGAGGTAATTCTGCCACCACAGCCCCGTTTTACAGATGGGGAAACTAAGGCTCGGAAAGGGGAAGCGACTTGCGTAGGACCTCACCTTGAGCAAGGTCCTCACATGCAGGTCAGGGGACCCCCAGCATGCTGCATGCCTGGGAGTGAAGCTGGAACTGGAATGGTGCCATGATCCACTTCTAGGGACATTTGCTGAGGGACACCTGGTCCCTGGCTGCTCTGGGCCAGGAGGCCACCGAGAACCAGTTGGGCAGGCCTGTGCTTGAATCAATCCTGGCACCTTGGCAGTGGATCTTTGGGCAAATCTCATGCCTCTCTGAGCCTCAGTTGGGCCCAGCACCTTCTTACAGTTCAGAGGGGAGGGACGCATCTGGGTTCACACAGGGTGAATGTTGAGATTCAAGCCAGCTTGGCTGACTCTGAGGCCATGGCCCCAACCTCGGCTCCTGGCTGGGCTGCCCAATCTAACTGGTCTGATCACGTTGGAATGCAGGGGAAGGGTGAGACGGGGAGCGGCTGTGTGCTGGGCCCAGCCGCCCTGTGTGGACCTTGGTCCCTGGTCTCCACTGTGGGTGAGGAAGCTGGAACAGACCAGCACGGCCCAGTTACAGTGGCTGGATGGGAAGGGCCAGCAGGAGCGGGGGCGGGGGGGGGGGGGGCGGGCAGGAGGAACTGAGAATGAGACAACTGAGGCCAGAGAGAATCAGAGGCCTGTTCCAGTCCCCTGAGGGGGCAAGAGAAGCCCAGGATTCCTGCTCTCAGCTTCTGGGCTGGGCAGTGACCACAAAGGAATGATCTCTTTTGGCCCTTGGCTGTCCCCACCAGCACAGCTGCAGAGACCCAGGAGGACGTTTATTTCCCCACAGCAGTCATGGAGGCTGATGAGAGCGCGTTGGCCCCGCCCACACAGGCCAAAGAGCCCAAGCCCCACCCTCTCATTTTATAGAGAAAGACACCAACACCCACAGGGCTGCCCACCATCAGGTCGCTGTAGCTGTCTTCCCTGACTGCACTGGCTGGTACCATTTGTATTAATTAGTATCCTACAGCTGCTGTTAAAAAGTGTGTCTTAAAACAGCGCAAATGTATTCTCTTAAAGCCCTAAGAGGCTGAAAGTCCAAAATCAATTTCACTGGGCTGAGATCAAGGCATCCTCAGCGCTGGTTCCTTATGGAGCCCTGGTTCTCCTCGCAGAGAACCCAGTTCCTTGCCTCTCCTGGCTCCCGGAGGCCGCCTGTATGCCTTGGCTTGTGACCTCTTCCTCACATGACTCCAGCCTCTTGCTTCTGGAGTCAAGTCTGCCCCTCCAGAAGACATTGTTACATTTAGGGCCCACCTGGCTAATTCAGGAAACTCCATCTCAGAACCATGGATGTAATCCCATCCACAAATTCTCTTTACTACATAAGGTAACTTTCACGCATTGCAGGGAATAGGACTCGGATATATTTCAGGGCGATCATTTAGCGCGCTACAACTCCTGTTCCTATTAGACAAGACGCTTCTGCCCCATAAAGTCCTTCCACTTGACTGGTTACATAAACCAGGGAAGAGTCATCCAGTGGAACGCTGTGTATTATGGAATGCTACACAGTCATTAATAAGGATGAGGGAGAACAGTGTCTAATCTGGGGTTGAGCTGCTACCATCTGACCTGAATTTTTATTTAAAATAAAACTCATCTGGAGAGAGAGGAGCCATGTGACACTGTGATGAAGGTCACAGACTCTGGAGCCAGGAGGTCGGGTTCACACTCTGCCTCTGCCACTTACTATGCGTGACACCGGAGAATTCACTTGACCTTTCTGATGCCTGTAAAATATTTGTACCTACTTCATAGGGAGTTGTAAGAATTAAATGTGACAATATATATGAAAAACTTAAAACAGTGCTTGTCACTAAATAGGCCCCATTTAACTGTTAGATATATATGTAAATATATATTTATTACATATAAAATGTAAATATATCTATATGCGCATTCTATGTAAACTACATAAAAAATAAAGTAGCTCTGGTCCTTGTGGCTCAGTGGGTTGGATGTCCTCCCGCAAACTGAAAGGTTGAGGATTCGATTCTCAGTCAGGGCACATGCCTGTGTTGCCAGTTCAGTCCCCAGCAGGGGTGCATGCAAGAGGCAGCCATCTTTCCCTCTCTTTCTTCCTCCCTTCCCCTCTCTCTAAAAATAAAAAAATAAAATCTTAAATAAAAATAATAATAAAGTAGAAGGCTGTGCTCCAAAAAAGATTGAAGTGGGTATCCCTGGGTGTTGGGATGGTACTAGTTGGTATCACCTTTTTGCTTATTTGCTGGTTCTATTTATGTACAATAAATATTATTTGTATAATCAAGGTGAAATTTAACACTAACAAAGAAGGAAAAGTGAAACAAAATCCTTCCAATCTTTGGACCCGAGGCCGTGGCTCACCTCCTGACTCCCAGGGAGGAGGGATCCTGCCATCCTCACCACTCTCGCCCCTTCTCACTTCCGGGAGCTCTGACCGTGAGCTCTGGGGAGCTGGGTGGGAGCAGAGCAGGGAGTGTGTTCTGAGAACAGACAGCAGACCCACTGGCTGCACAGAAGTGCCCCTCACATGCTGGCCGCTGGATGCATCGACTCTGATGGCACCAACTCCAGGGAAGTTAACTGACCTCTGAGTGCTTGTCCGAGGATGGGCAAGGGTGGGGCTTGCCCAGGGTCACCGTGAGCAGTGGCATTGTTCCACCTCAGGCCTTCTGCTACAATCAAGGCCATAGGGGACCTGAGCATGACCAAGATGAAGTATGGATTCCTGGCTTGAGGCCTTTTCCCCTGGAAGATGTAGGTTTTCCTACCTGCTCATCTTCAGGCTCTTGCACTGCTAAACCCATTTTACGGATGGGCACATAGAGTCCCTGGATGACTGCCCGCGGCAGATGCAGTCCCGGAGTGGGCCAAAAGGTGGCAGCACCGGACCTCGTTGTCATCTTCTACAGGATTTCATATCCTCTACTGCCCTCTGGTGGTCACGGGAAAAACAGCTCAGGGGGCCAGGCCAAGGAACACTTAGGAAAATTGAGGCAGGGTTGTCACCTTTTAGTATGTGTGAGGGGAATGCTCAGTGAAAGAACCAGGGCTCAGTGGGTCCCCTATGGTGGTCTTGGGTTGACTAGCCAGGCTCCAGCCCCAGCCACAGAGATGGGGTCTGGCTAGCGCAGTCCTTGGACTTTTCATCAGGGTGACCATTCAGTAGACGGTGAGGCTGAGGCAGGAGCGCCTGCAGTAGCCGCAGGGGAAGGCCCCAGTCGGGAGTCAGGCCCTTGTCCCCAGCATGGTTCAGCCACCAACCATAACCTCCTTCGCGGAATGTGGAGACAATAGAAAGCATCTCTGAGACATGGAAACAGGCAGAGGGGAGGGAGATGGCAGGGAGCAGGGACACCGCCTGCACCCGGGAGCCTCCTTCGTCGTCGGACTGGGCCTCAAGCAGAAGCCGAGGCTGCGAGATGCCATTGCGGGCTGAGCAGGAGGAGCAGGAAGGACTGAGACAAAGGAGAGGCATGTCTGCCTCCTTTAGCAGCTGGGAAGGTACCACGTCACCTGGGCGAGGTTTGAGGAGGGCAGAAGGCTGGTTGTGAAGAGAAGGGAAAGTGGGGCAGGGGAAGCAGGGACGCAGGAAAGGCCCTCCTTCGGCACCCCATGGCGTTCCTGGCCTCGTTCCTGTCCTGCTGGGGGACGCTCTGGCATCCACAGGCCACCCAAGGCCCCTGGAGCAAAGGCCCCTTGGGACATGAGGCCTGACCAATGATGTAGGAACAGCTTCCTGGACACAGTGGTGGCTTGGAGCCCCTGACACCTGTTGGCCCCTCGGAGACAGCTCCCGTGGCTCCTCGTGCCAGACTGGCGTGGCCTCAGGCCTGGGCTCCTCTCCGTCCCCACAGCCCTACATGCTCAGCACCCCCAGGGGGACAGGGAGAGGGAGCCACCGCAGGGCTCCCCAGTGCGGGCCTGGCCGCTGGGCTGTGCTTGTATGTGCAGAGGAGCACTCAGCAGCCGCAAAGGAGCCAGCATGACACACGCTGACAATGACAGATGTCCATGATGGGAACGAGAACAGGGGGGTGGCAGCCCAGTCCTGTGGGAGAAACCGAGGCAGCCACTTCTACATGTTCTCAAACCCTCACCACTTACCCTCAAATTGGCACTATCATTATGCTCATTGGACAGATGAGGAGACTGAGGCTCAGAGAGGGCCACCGCCACCCAGAGTCCCAGTCAGTCCCTTAGAGACCACACGCTGGGCCATCTCTGAGCTTCCCTTCTGGTGTCCCAGGGACTATGTGACAAGAAGCCTGCTAAGCCTTTCGCCTCAGGCGTAGCACTTAGCAACACTAGACAAACAAAGCTGGGAGTGGCCCCATCCAAAGCCACCCCCACCCCAGCCCGACCAGCACCCACAAACCTCACTGCAGCGCCACAAGGGGACAGCAACTGTTTTATTTCAAACAAGACAGAGTCCAAGGGTGGTCGGTAAGAACAGGAGTCCCAAAGGGCCAAGGATGCGGTTCTCCCCTAACCTAGGGTATCCCTCCTTCCCTTGTCCAGAGAGCGGGACTCCATCCCAGTCTCACCCACAGGGTTAGACAGGGCAGCCACTGACAGCCCAGGACAGGGAGGCGGGGGAGGCCGCCCCTCCATGCCCCTCAGGGGGCCGTGTCCCCCAGCAGATGTCCAGTGTCAGAAACAGAATGCGGTGGGGGTGGAGGTGGGGGACAAGAGGTAGAATGATCCTGCCACCCCTGCAGAGCATCGCCCAGTGCCGGCCTCTGGTCCCAGGCAGCCAGTCTTCCACAGTCTTCCAGTCCCTCCCAGCAGGGTGCTCAGTTCACTGGGGGGCCTCAGCGATGGCCTTCTCCACTCGCCGGTACCAGGGCTGGATGCGGGTGTGGCGCATCAGGTCGTCGAAGGCCTCCAGGCCCTCCATCACACGCAGCACGCCGTACACTGCCTGGGCGTGGGCACAGAACGGGCATGCAGGCCTGCCCCATCACCTGCCAGCTGTGCGCCCTGGGGCTGTCACCTCCCCCGTCTGAGAGCTTCATGGCCCCGCTGAAGGGCTAACTTTGGATGTGGGGCTTTGAATTATAGCAAGGTTTTACCTGCCCCACACCCACATCCCCATTTGGGGCAATGCCCCCTTTCCCCACCCAGAGTTTCCTTTGGGAAAATGCCTTCTCTGACTCCCAGGTGCTGAGAGACCTCCCCCACCACCTACAGAGCGGGGCCTGCCGATCAGTGTGTTTCAGCCGGTCTGCAGGAACGCTTCCCCGTGGACCAGGAAGCAGGACTTTGCTGGGAGCTGGGGGACTGGTGCACCACTGGACAAAGGCTGACCTTGGGCTGCAGCCAACTCCAAGGAACTGAGATGCAACAGGGCATCCTGAGCCCTGGTTATACCACCTGGGCCCCTGGATCCAGCCAGGCCTGAAGCCAGACCCTCCACTAAATCTGTCCATTATTGGAACCAAGACAGTTCCTTGTAGTTGGTTTTCCTTCAGCCCCCGACAACATATGGAGCCAGCTGCCTCTGAGGTGGGGGAGCTGGGAGATGGAGGTATTGCCTACACCTGGGCTCTCCCTGCCTGGGCTTCCCTGCCCCAGAGCCAGGTTGCTCCATCTGGCCCCCCCCAGCCCCCCCCCGCCCCCCCCGCCCCGCCGCCCACCACCACCACACTCACCAGATCAGCCAGGTTCGGCTTCTGGCCCCCCATGAAGGGCCGGTCTTTGCCCACGGCCGCCACCCACTTGTTGGCGGCCTCATACAGATCCTCACGCACATCATCCTGGAGGTGATGCCTGGGCAGGGAGAGGAAGAGTCCCTCAGGGAGCCCCCACCCAGGCCCAGGTGAGGTCGGCGGGAAAACCGTTGAACGCACATGCACACACGCGCACCATCACCTGCTCTTGAGCCGCTTGCTGATGAGGAACATGGCAGCTGCGCCCAGGTACTTGGCCACGGCGCCCTCCACGGCCCCGAACTTGCCTTCCTGGACAATGTAGTCGAAGGAGGCCAGGGCCTCGGCAGGCGTGCGGTACACGTTGGGGGAGATCAGGTGCACCAGCCAGTCATCTGCCCACTGCCGCCACTTCATCTCCTCCCTGCGGGAAAGTGGGGGGCAGGGGGCGGGCCAGGTGGGCTTCCCAGGCCAGGGCCTTGGAGGTGGGGAGCAGAGCAGACCCACAACCTAGACCTCCCAGTGTATGTATGTGAAGCGGAGGTCTCAGCAGCAGGTCCTGAGGGAGACTCAGCCCCAGCCCTGGTGGTCTCCCGTGTTGCTCCCCCCTCACAGTGTCTCACTCAGCCTGGGCCCCTCTGGGGAAGACCACCCCGCCCCCAGCCCTCTCCCGGGCAGCCCCAGCCCCACTCACGTCCTGGCCTCCTTCCCGCCATACATTTGTTGGGCCTCCTTCTCGTCTAACATTAGCCAGTACTTGTTGCAGAACTCAGTCACCTCCTTGCCCTGGTCATTCATGGCCTTCATGGGTGGATAGTAGGTGATGATGACTTCCAGGGGCTGCCTTCAGGACACATCCAGAGTCTCACCCCAACTCCCTTCTCCTCCAGGAGACCGAGCCCTTGCCTCCTGAGGGTGCATATCCACCCCAGCCTGACCGGGCCCCGAGGTGGAGCCAGGACCGACTCACAAAACTTTTCCACCCTCTTGGGGGTGACACAGGAGGTCCTGCAGCAAGAGGGATTTGGGGCAGACGCCAGGAACACTCCCCTGACAGAGGAGACGTGCGGGGCAGCGGAGGGGGAGGCTCAGAGTAGGACAGCCACGGCCCATTCTGGAAACGTAAGCAGCAGCCCCTCCCTGCTCCCTGCTAGGACTCAGTGGAGACAGAAGGGATAAAAGGCAGCCTGCTGGGCCCCAAGGGGCTCCTTACCCCGACACCAGGTAGGTCTTGAGGGCACTGATGATGACAGAGGAGTCGTTCAGTTGTTGCTAGAGGAGAGAAGGTCGGTTTAGATCGTGGGTGGGGATAGGAGGCTCTAAACAACACTGGCACCCAAGCATTCCACTGGAAACTGGCCCACCCCTGGGGGTTTTCCCCAAAAACCCACACCCACTGAGCTCTCCCTTCCCCCAGGATACAGTCCCCAATCCGGGGAAGCCCATGATAAGCCCTCAGGGAGATCCAAGTGCAGCTAATGGGGAGGAGGGTGTGGGAGGACCCAGGGTCCGGGCCCTGCCTGCGGCACCGGCCTGGCCTCCAGGGCACTGAGGAGCAGGGTGGACTCCAGAAGCTACACACTAGCAGCCAAGCACTGGGCCGGGCATTCCCTGCAACCTGGAGCGTATGGTCCTCTGTTGACTGGAGAAGCCCCAGAGAGGCTAAGTGATTAGCCCCGAGTCACACAGCTGGTGAGGGGCAGGGCCACACCTTGAACCCAGACCACCCTCATTTCAGAACCCACACTGATAAGCTCTGTGGGGCTCTGTGTGCATCCCTCAGACCTGGCTGGTGTTTGGTGATGGGGCAGCAGGAGGGCAGCTTGCATTTCCTGGGCATCTACTGTATACCAACTACTTTCCCCTCTAATTCTCAGCTGAGGCCAAGAGCCCAAGTTGCTTCCAGGGCTGCAAAGGGGATATCTACTCAGGGGATATTCCAGGACGACCCAGGACATGGTAGGGCGCTCCTGGAGCTCACCAGGCTCTCTCCTTCCTGGGCCAGCAGGATGGGCACCTTCCTGTAGGAGGAGAACTTGATCTCGGCCCTACGCACAGGGTTCACCTCCACCACCTGGTAGGGCAGGGCGTGGAAGTCGAGGAAGGCGCGGACCTTGCTGCAGAAGGGACATGTTTTGTACTGGTACAGAGTCAGCTGCAGGCGGTCAGACAAGGAGAGCTGGGTGGGGAGCAGAGGGAGGAGGCTTCTGAGGCCTGGTCCCCAGGCCTGCCCCTAAGCAAACTTGGTTCCTAGGGGAGTCTTCTAAGATGACCCTGTGAACACTGGGAGGAATGGGGGCGGGGGGCCGGGAGAAAGGGGATACAGGGAGGTGGGGAGCAGGCTCCTGCAGTGACGGCCCAGGCTCAGCCCGAATCCAGGGTGCTTTCCAGACAGGAAGTGTAGTCTGTGCAGAAGGAATCTTCTGGTCTCTGTCCTACACTGGAAAGACGCTTGTCCTCTTCCTCTTGTCCCGAGGGGACAGCAGGCACCCACAGGAGTGCCCTCCCAGATGCAGAGTAATTGTCTCAACTCAGAGTGCACATCCCCACTCCCCCAACCCCAGGGACCTCTGGGTGCAGGGGCAGAGGTGCAACCCAGACAGTTGCCCAGCTTTGGCCAGAGTGTGGTCTACCTCCAGTCTCCAAGGAGGAAGGGCTGTCTCAGGGCCTTGGGTCTGGATCATGGATCCTGCATGTTCAGCAGGAAGGGCCCAGATGAGCTCCAGTCCATTGCCCTCAGCGCTCAGATGGGAAACTAAGGCTGGACCGTGGAGAAGAGCAGGGAGATAGAGAGACCTCTACTCCCCTCCCACCCACCCCTTGTCCCCCTGGGTCCAGGAAAAAGCACCTGTGGACGGATGGTGGCAGCTGCAGCAAAGTAAGGACTGTGCTGGTGCCATGCACAAAGCATTACTAGGGCAGCTGAGCCACTACCTGGGTGGGGAGACACTGCCGTGTCCCTTCCTGTCTCAGGACCTGGAGTCTAAGGGTCATGGGTTCCATAAAGATGCTAATAATAATACTAATAAATACATACACAACCTCAGTATTTGGAATGGGATAAAGAGGCAAAGAGGTTTTCTTTCCCTCTTCTGTGACCTCAAAATTTTTCCCTGAAAAAGTCTTTAAATAAGTTAGAAAAACAATCTTAAGACAAAGGCAACAATTGTAGTTAGGAGGCATCAGTAGCAGCCCCATTTCACAGACGAAGACTGTGAAGCTGAGGGCTCGGAGTCAAAACCAAGTCACTCGCCCAAGGTCGCAAGGGGACAGCGGGGGCGATTCCTGACCCTGCCGCTTCCAGAAGTACCAACGTTCGACGCTGACCCCAGCGTCCCTATCCGTGTGCGGATCGGTCCAGCCCGGGCTTACCTGCGCGGCCGAGCGCTCGGCGCGGAGGTCCTGGGAGTGCAGGTGCCAACGCGTGGTGTAGTACAGCCCCATGGCGCCCCCGAGGGCCAGAGCCGCCGCCCCCAGCAGCCGGCGGCTCCCCTTGGGTACGATGGCTGCAGGGCCCTGGCCTCCCGCCGCTCCCGCAAAGCCAGCTCGGCTCTGCACGGGTAATCCGAGCGCCGGGTTACCACACAGCCTCCAGGCCAGAGCGCGCCCGCCGGGCCACAGCACCCGTGCAGCCTGGGCCATGTTCACTCTGCCGGCGCCGCGGGCGGGAGCGCGAAACTAAGACCTCCGGGTTTAGGGTTCCCTTAAAGGGCCAGGTCTCCGGCGCTCAGCAGGTTGCCGGGGTGACAGTGACGCCGAGTGGGGAGGAATAGCCCTCGCGGGTTGGGGCGTATTTGCCCGGTGCCTAGCTTTCAGACACGCAGCAGAGCCGCAGAAACACATCCGGGGATGTCTGGGAGTCGCTAAATTCCCAGGCTCCTGAACATGTAGATGTAACGGAACTTGGCGGTGACCCGGGCCGAATGCAGGGAATACCCGGTCGCTAGCCTCGACTCGATCACGTAGCTTCCGGTGTCGCCTCTGAGCCCCCAACATCATCTGTAATATGTGGTAATTTCTTCCTCATGCACCCAATCGAAAGAAACTAAACCTTTCGGAGTGTCAAGGAGTTACGGCTTCAGCTCCTTATGGGCTGCGGAAATGGCCATACCTCACCAACAGCGGACGCCAGGGACACAGGCTCTTTCTGCCCTACCGCCCCGCTGCACCGTTTCTCCTATGACCAGAACCATAAAAACTTCCGTACACATTGGGGACCTAAAGAAACCATGTGTCTAAGATTTCGCCCAGACCCCGGCTCTCCCACTCACAAGTTCCCAGAGGTAGGATGGGGCAGAATAGGGGCTGAATGGGGGTCCCAGTCTGCTCCGGCCCTCTGCCGGGCTGGCTAGCCCTGGCTGAGCGCCCGAGCCTCCACCACCTAGGCTTCTCGGCGGGCAGCCCCAGGGTGGCCCCGCCCGGAGGCCGGGAAAGGGGCGGTAGATCCGGGAGCAGGCGAAGATCCGAGAGCGAGACAGGCTGTGCGTCAGGAGGGGTGGAGTCTGATGGCGGGGCGGGGACAGAGATCTGCCGGGTTTGTGCCAGAGCCTAGCTGCCGCAGGTGCGGGGTGTTGGGCGGGGGGCGGGGCTCGGTCCTTGGGGGAGAAGTCTTGTGAGAGGCGGCTCTCGGGCCAGTTGGTACCGGCCTTCGGGGCGGGGCTCCGGCCTCCCCGCAGCCCTAGGCCTCGCGGTTCCACTCCTCTGGTGACACCTTTCCCCCGCGGTCTGCATCTTTCGCCCGGGGCCCTCTGTCCGCGTGAGGGTCTCCGCGTTCCCTCATCGCGCGGTCCTTGCGGAGCCCGAGCCGGCAATGTCGGGCTCCTACGGGGACGTGGGCCTGTCGGTAGAGGCCGGCGCAAAAGGCAAGGACGATGGCTTCAGGGAAGCAGGTGACTCGCAGACTGCTGAAGCGACCTTTGCTTTCCCCTTGGGAGGGGCGGGGCCGGGTTAGGGGTTTGGAATCGACCACGGAGCCCTCCCATCCCCGTTCCCCGCCCCTGGGTGCGTTGCGGCTGCAGGCGCCGTCTCGGAGTTCAGAACGAGCACCTGCGAGTTGGGTACCCGGAAGCTGCAGCATTCGAGAACTGTGGGCAGCCGGCCCCGTTTTACAAATGGGGGAGCTGAGGCCGCTTCATAGACACTCGCGCTCTTGGATTTGTTCCAGCCACTTTTGGGGACGCTCAGTCCTTTTGGGGACGGAGGCTCCCGAGGGGGCGGGTCTTGTGGACCTTCCGCAGTGGGGGCTGCCTGGGAGGGCGCGCGTGCCCTGCGGAGTCAGCATCCTCAGCCACCTTTACCGGTGTGTTCTGGAGCCCAGGCGAATGTAACTTGCTTACAAAGCAGCCTGTCGCGTGCACAGCCCCGCCCGCGTGGGGGTAAGATAAGGGTCGAGATGTGGCTTATGAAGAGAGAACCATCAGCACTCTTTTTACCTTCTCCATCCTGTTTTCCCTTCTGTAAAATAAAAATAATTATTCGTGTCTCCTGCCTTGAGAGGTGTCAGGGATAAGTGGGAAAATTAATGAGGAGAAGCTGGAGGCTAGTGAGGTCCTTGCCTTAGAGGCCCCTATTTTTTGCCCACCTGGCAGCCGCTCCAGCTTTGCCAAGTAATAGGAAGGAAACCCAGTGACCAGCCCCTCCACCAAAAATACGTGGGGAAGTTCTCCCTTTGTTCTCCTGGCCAAGAGTGGGCAGGACGTCGGGGCAGGCCCATGCCCCTTGGCATGTGGCCAGGGCTCACTGCCCTCCTACCCTGCCTCTTACTGATGCGTCCTAGCCAGGCCTCCTGTCAGTGGCCAGCGCGGAGCACAGCCCTGCTTAATGCCCAGGGGACCTCGGGCCTGGGGAGCCAGCTGTGGCCAAGCAAGTCCAGGGATCGCTGTGCTCTTCCCTCTTGCTGTGGGGCATCGGGACAGGTGGCTCAGGTCCAGGGTTCTCACATGGATGAGGGAAGGAGCCTCTGTCCAGGCATAGCCCAGGTCTGGCCAGCCCATAAGCTCTGTGCCAGGCTACGACTTCTGTGACCTGCCCTCAGTATCTGGTGGCCAGCCTCCTCCTGGGTCTGAGTATACATGGCCTTCTATGGCTCTATGACAGACTGCACCCTACCCCCCCTTATATCTTTTGAAAAACAAAGCTGAGTGAATTGAAAGATCAAACTGGTTTTAATTAGTGATTCATGAATTAGGTAGCATCCCATCTAACAAGAACAAAATGGGAGACTTTTTCCGGCAGAAGACAGGGCAGGGACAGAAGAGAGTATTACCTCATTACTGCTGACCCGGAAATGCCAGATTGACCCAGTTAAGATTACATTTCTGGGGAAGATTGCGATCAAAATTAGGTTAGGTATCGGATCTCAGTTTGGTGATGTGGGCTTAGCACAAGTGACATCATTCTGGGCCTCTTGTCTTTTTAAACTGACCCCTCTGAACATGCTTCTCTGTCTCCTTCATCCTCTCTTCTGCAGCCCTGCCTCTTAAGAATCGGCTTCTTCAGGATTTGGGCTTGACCCTTCCAGGCCACATGCACACAACCTCAGCCACCTTTTCCCTCCCTCCCCTGGTTTCTTTTGCCATCTTTGTCAGGGGTACCTAGCCTGTGGATTCAGGTCAGCCCTATCCTGACTCCAGGCCTGGGTTTGTAACTGCCTCTGGGTCAGGAAGGATGCCCGCCAGGGAACCCACTTCGGTTCTGGCACAACCACCCAGCTGGCTATCTGTCCCACCCACCAATTTCTCCTTCCGCAAGGGAGAACCAGGAGTGCTGTCAGCCTCTTCACCCTCCCTGACTGCTCAGTCCCCACTCCCCACTTCTCTTGACCCTGTGACCCCAGGGGGTTCTACCCAAGTGTCCCACTGCCCCTTCGTCTCATTCAGAACCTACTGAAGAGATGAACCTCAAAATAATCAGGCTGAATGAAAGAGGCCAGACAGTAAAGATTATATACTATTTGGTTCTACTTACATAAAACTAGAAAATACAAACATATGGTGACAGCAGATTGGGGGTTGCTTGGGGGTGGGGTAGGGATGTGTGGTGGAGAGGAGAGGAGGGAAGGGGCACGAGGAATCTCGGGGGTGGTGAACAGGGTCACTGTCATGGTCGTGGTCTTGGTTTTGTGGGCATTATATTGCCAAAACTTACCAAATTTCTGAAAAACCACAATGAAGGAGGTATGTCAAAAGCACCAGGATTATAACCCAAAGTATAAAATAAATACCCACATGCCCATTCTGATACAAATAAATGATTGACTTAACAAATAAATCAGGAGAAGACAAATCTCCCGGGCAGGAGAATTCCAAATAATTTATGTAGCCACCCGGCCCTCTAGGAGGCGGAGCGCAACCCCCTCCCCGTAGCTCTGGGCCCTGCAGGGCGACTTCCTTCCCCAGAGAACAGTGTGCAGAGGGGGAGGAGAGTAACCTTACAGCGGAGACACCTGACAGCACACCTCTGCCAGGGGGTCAAGGTCAACATCAGCAGTGATCAGCCACGTGGATAGCATGTGACCTTGATAGGGTACGATGCAAGTGGCGCTTTACCTCTGTGACTTTCCTCCTAAAACATGAGCCCATTCTAATCATGAGAAAAATACCTGGCAAGTCCCCATAGAGGGACATTCTATACAAAATATGGGACCAGTGTCCCTCAATACTGTCAGGATCATCAAAACCCAGTCAAGTCTGAACAGCTGTCACAGCCAAGAAGAGCCTCCAGAAATGGAACAACTAAATGTAACACAGGATCAGATGGGGCCCTGGCACAAGAAAAGGGCATTGTATACAAATCAAAAAAATCTGAATAAAGTATGGACTTTAGTTAAAAATAATCCATCAGTAGTGGTTCATTAATTGTAACATGTATCATTACTGATATAAAATGTTAATAATAAAACAATTCCAGTTACATGGGAATTCTGCAAACTATGTTCACAATTTTTCCGTAAATCTGAAACTTAAAAGTTTATTTTTAAAAACTCGTGTAATTGTGCACTTTGAATATGTGCAGTCTCTAGTGCATGGCTGGTGTACTCTGTGGGAAGATTTGTTAATAACATGCCAATTTCTATGATGTTATAGGGACACTCTTTTACTTCTTGAATCCATAAATTACAGTATGCTGGGAAACTTCCCAGTTCATTAACTATAGCATTCTCTTACCCTTTAATGTTTATAGAATCTATAGTTATAGCCTTTTAAAAATTCCTACTTCTATTCATGTCTCATATCTTTGTTGAGAAATTTTTCCAAATTTCTGCTTATGATTTTTCCAAATTTCTACCTAGACTTTTCCAAGAGTCAACTTTTTGCTTTGATATTCCTATTGTATATTTCTCTTATATTAATTTCTGCTCTTCAGAAGTTATTTACTCCTTTCTTGTATTTTCTTTGGATTTATTCTGTGGTTTCTTTTTTTTAGATTTTATTTATTTATTTTTAGACAGAGGGGAAGGGAAAGAGGGAGAGAAACATCACTGTGTGGTTGCCTCTTGCACCCCCTCCTGGGAACCTGGCTTGCAACCCAGGCATGTGCCCTACACTGGGAATTGAACAGGCAGCTCTTCGATTCGCAGGCTGGTGCTCACTCCACTGAGCCACGCCAGGCAGGGCTATTCTGTGGTTTCTAAAATGTCACTTTGGACACTTTGCTCATGACTTTGAGCCTTTCTCATTATAAAACACACAATGAAAGCTGTGCATGTCCCTTGTTTATTGTGAGCGCAGCAGGGCGTTAGAGTCTGTTTCCTGTGAGATCTGGTGTTCTGGTGAAGGGAAGCCCTCCAGAATGCCCAGACTACTGTCCAGCCAAGATGGCTGTTCAGACAGATCCTCACCAAGGTCCTCTCAGGCCACCGGAAGACAAGCCACCCCTCCCTGCCTGCCCTTGCAGAGCAGTACCCCTCCCAAGCAGCCTCCCCTTCTCTACTCTCCAGCCGGGGCTGCCCCAGCCTGTCCCTCGCCCTACTCTTCACTGGCCCAGGTCGGCCCCTTCTTCTTGTGAAGGTGGACATGCTCTCCCTTCAAAGCCTGACCTTGTCCTACTTACTGCCTGTCAAATCTTGCTCATGACGCCCCTTCCCGAGAGGGAAAGGCTCAGCCACAGACCCCATCCCATCTGAAATGAGCACTTAGTGCGTGCCCAGGAGGAGCCCAGCTGGGACCCCTACCTTCCTCAACCACTGAGAAGAATGGGGAGGGGCAAAAGGGAGGACCCAGGCAGGAGCCTGAGCGCCTCTCAGACATTGTTCTCATTTAACCCTGCCCCCTGGACTGGGCACTCTCCTAGTGTGTGCTGGGCTCTCAGGGTACAAAGACAGAAACAGGCTGTTGTGAGAGGCAGACCCCTCCTCACATAAGCTGCCTTGGTGGCGTCCAATAGACACCCAGCCGTGGGCCCAGGGAGCATGGGGCAAGGCAGTGACCTGGGAGCATCCACCCACCACCAGCTGGTTGCCTGAAGCCCACTGCAGACTCTGCTCAGAGCAGTGGCCTCCAGTCCCCGCCTCGTGGTCCTCATGGATCCTCCCACCTAGGGTGAGAGGCAGAAGCACCCCTCTAAGAGGCATGCTTGGGCCAGGCACCCAAGCCCCAGAACCAAGAGACCGTCTGGGGCCCAGACCTCGTGTGGTGGAACCTACTGCCCACTGCCCAGTGGACCCCGCTAGTGGGAGGAATCCAGCGGGTGTGTAACGGGCTGTATGGGAGGGGATGCCTTTCAGAGCTTTTTCCATGAGCAGGGGCCCCTCCAGGGGGAAGGGACAGGAGCCAAGGAGTGCTCAGGTGAGCCCTGGCGAGCCCCAGCATGAGCCATGGGGTGTGGGGGCTGGAGAGCTGCTTCTGGAAACTAGAGAATCAAGCCAAGGCCCCAGGGGCACAGGCCTTCCCCTTCCTGGGTGTTTGGTCCTGCCGTGGCTAAGGAGGGCCCATCCGTGGACGCCAAGAGGTCTTGCTGCTGTGACTGGCCTCCTGAGGCATCTGCCTGAAAGCTGCTCCTCGGTGCTGCCCGGGCTCTGAGAAGCCTAGTCACCCGCTGCCCGGGGACCTCTCGCCAGCCCTTCCGCCAAGTCAGAGGGTGCTGCTGCTCCCCCAACCACCCGTCATCCGTGGCCGGGCTGAACACTGCTCACAAGCTTCCGGAAACCAGTCCACGGGCTTAGAAGGGACTCCTCAGATGCAATTAGCACAGAGGATACTTGGCTGCTTTCCTGGGGGGATTAGGCCAGGCGCAGGGCCCGGGGCCCTGCGTGGGAGAACCGGCCACGGTGGTCCCTGGGAACCTCACCTCTGGGGCATGTGGAGAGTGGAGAGCCACCTGCCAGACACAGCGGGGACGGGGGCGCCGGGTTTCTCCTGGCTTCTTGCCATAGACAACCCCACATGTGGGTGGCATTAAGTTCCTGTCATTGCTAAAGGGACCCAGAGTGGGACTTGGAAGGCCCAGCCATCCCAGGAAGGGCTTGGCCCCAAGGCTTCTGTGTGGCTTGCTGTGGCCCCACTGGGGACGTTTGCAGCTCCTAAAGAGGGAGGGGGAAGCTGGTGGGGTGGTCCTGCAGGACCACCCCTTGGGAACCAAGAGGGGGGCCAAGGGGAAGCAGGCGCCACAAGTGTAGTGCTGGCCATTCTGAGAGCCCTGGGGCCCAGGGACTGCCCCCAGCTCTGGCCAGGGTGAACCCGAGAGTCCCCCACTGGGCCAGATAGGTGCCCAGCCCCCGTGGGAAGGGGGCGGGCGAAGAAGGGGACAGCCAGGGTCCTGTCTGGCCTGAAGCCCTGAGAGTCCGCCTGAGTCCAAACGGGAGCCTACCCCACGCTCCTCACCTGCCCTCCCGGTACCTTCTCAGCATCTGTGAGGCAGGTGTGCGTGTTGAGCTGACCCTCCCACCGAAGCCCTGCTGGACTCTGAGGAGGGTGGACACGGCTTGGTGCCTTTAACCCCAGCCTAGCCTGCGAGGACCTCTCTCTTCCTGAGGCAGAAGGCAAGAAGCCTCGGCCAAACCTCTGCCCTCCAGCTCCAGCCAGCCCAGCACCCAGGTCCGGGCCAGGACAGAAGGCCGGAGGCAGCCAGGTGAGGAAGAAATGATGAGACGACCTTCAGCAGGTGTCGGTCAAGGGCAAGACCACGCAGAGATGAGGACGGAGGGAAACTCTGAGATGACCTCCTGTGGAGACCGCCCTTGTGTGCAGCGTGTGCATGGCCTCAGAGTCTGCAGCGCGGCTGTTGCTACCGAGAGGGGCACTGGCGGGGCGCAGGGGTGGGCAGAAGTCAGCAGGCACCTGGAGGAGCCAGGATTCCAGCGGCGCCCCTGGCCTGGGCCACCTCCCCTCCCGCACCTGGCCCTGGCTCTCTCATGCTGCAGACCCTTCCTACCCACCGCCCCAGTCATCGCAGGGAGCACTGGCTACTCGGATCCCTGACTTGAAGAGCCTAGACTAGTCCATCCAGCGACTCCTTGGTGATCCAGGGCACTGCCCGTCTCCTAGTTAAAATTCTCTGGGGCTCAGCTGTCAGTCTCTCCCACACCCAATAGTCACCGAAGACTTGAAGATGCCTTTTAAGGTCAAAGAGAGTAGCGGGGGTGGAGCCCCTGGACCTGCTAGTGGGGGTAAGGGTGGCCACGGCGTGAGAGCTTTGGTGGCAACATCCTTGAAGCTTTGTCCATCTCCACTTCCTGCCATTTCGTCACCCAAACAGGCAGGCAGGGCAGGGGCCGGGGGGGGGGCCTCTCTGCCTCGGGATGGCCGAGGCTGCACCCTGCACACCAGCTCAGAGCCCCATCCAAAGCGCCCTCCCTCGGCACCCGCTGACCCGGAGCCCAGGCTGAGCAGCAGGAGGGTAGAGCCAATGAGGTCCCTGTCAGTTTCCTGAGGCCAGCGAACCCTCAGCCCAGCCTCAGGTCAGGCGTCCAGACAGCCTCCGCCCTCATGGTGACATCTGGGAGACACGGCCCAGGGGCTGGGACCCATCACTGACCCCCGGGGACAGCCCCCGGCCCCCGCCCAGGGAGGAAACTGCTCTGCAGGACACAGCCGTGATTGGCCGTGGCAAGAACGCATCGAGGGACCCAGGCCGGGGCCACTGGACGCCACGGACCCAGGCTGCGGCCAGAGATGGTGAATGGTCTCAGCCACCTCTGAAGGACAAGGCCACGTCCCTGCGCTCCCTGTGACCCAAAGCACCTGGTGTCCAGAGCAGTCCGGTGGAGAGCTGGCCTCCAGACCCCAGCCCCTCACCCAGCGCAGGTGCGCGCCCCTCGCCATCCCCGCACCGGGATGCAGCCGGGACTGCAGCCTCCATGCTTTCGCTGAGCAGCCACGTGTGCAGCAGGAGCACCCCACGTGGGGTCTCTGCCCACTGGGCGCACTGGAAGGGCCAAGTCCGCAGGGATCCGCTTCGGTTCAGGTGCCCTCCTGCAGATGGGGCACGGGAGAGGGGAGGGGCCGCCCCAGGGGGCAGCCCTTCCAGATTGGCTCCGAGGAGGGTTTCCCCCGTGCCGGGGTTGTCCTGGGGCCCTAGAGGGCCAGGAGCTGGGCTTTGAGACCTCCGGAAATACACTACGTCCTTTCCACTTTTAGGTGCCCCACCCTTCCCTGTCTCTTCTGAGAGGCAGGAAGCAGGGCATGATCTGCTGGGGTGAAGCATTCTCTGCATTCATTGTGTGCAGGGGAGGGGAGCCTCACTGCAATCCCCACCCTGGCCTTGGGCAGAGCAGGGACTACTGGAGGTCAGAGGTGACAGTCTGGATCAGGACTACTGAACACAAACAGGGCCACCCAGAGTGAGAGGAAGGGGCACAGAGAGTGTTCAGGAAGCTCTTGTCCCTGCAGAGGTGTGGAGCTCTGGGGAAAGTCCCCTCGTGCCTCTCCTGGCCTTCCTGCCCCTCCGTCTTGCACAACCCTGCCACGGGGGAAAGGGGAAGAAATCTTACCAAATGTTTCAGCAAAAGTTGCTGGAAGTTACCTCACCTTTCCCAAATTTACCAATGGACAAATCACTCCGCCCTGGGGTGAGCCGGTGAACAGGAAGGACCATAAGTAGGGCTCCCCAGGCCGGCCTCCTCACTTGCCTCTTCCTCCTCCACTGCCTGCCCAGCAGCTGCCCAGCTGCCTCGGCCCTGAAACCATGCCCCTAGCTCTCCTGTGGCTGGGCCTCGCCCTGCTGGGCGCCCTGCGCGTCCAGGCCCAGGACTCCACTGCAAACCTGATCCCAGCCCCGCGTCTGTCCCGGGTCCCGCTGCAGCCAAACTTCCAAGATGACCAGGTAAGGGGCCTGGTGGGGCAGGTGCAGGGAAGCCCCCAGGAACAGTGGGAGAAGAAGCAGGGAGAGGCAGCGTCTTAGGGAGCGTGTTAGGACAGGAGGGGCCGGGCTTCAGCTCAGCCTGCCGTTGGCACCGCTGAAGGAAGCCGTGCCCCGTGCCCCCATCCCCACCCCGGCCGTGCTGATCTGCCCAAGTTCACACTCTCTCCCATAATCTCCACGGGCTACGCAGGGTGGGAACATGTTCAGTCCCTCTGCATGATGAGGAAACTGAGGCTCAGGGGGACCAACTTGCCACTGCCACGGGTCGCTCCATCCCTGCCAGACTCAGGGCTTCCTCCTGTCCCGCTGACTCCAGCGGCCGCTGGCTTCATCAGCGCAGGCCCAGCCAGGCCTGAGCGCCCAGTCAGAGGGCCTGTGGCCCCGGGAGAGGGGCTCCTGGCCCTGCTGCCCAGAGGTGCATGCAGGGACAGAGCAGGAGGGCACCTCACGGGCCCACCTTGCCTATCACCGGCCCCCTGCAGTTCCAGGGGAAGTGGTACGTCGTGGGCCTGGCGGGGAATGCATTTTCAAAAAAAGAAGAAGGCCAGTTTAAGATGTACACCACCACCTATGAGCTGAAAGAAGACCACAGCTACAATGTCACATCCACCCTGCTCAAGTGAGAGCCACCGCCTCCTGGGGGAGCATGGAGCATGTGGGGCTGCCTGTGGGGAGGTGGTTCTGAGGCGCAGACGGATATCATGGCCAGGGCATGACCGAAGCTGACAGATAGTCATTCACCCTAATATTCAGTACTAGATTCATATCATTGCTCCTTCCTTTCTTCAATCATTACAGCAGCATTTATCGGCTACTCCTGTGCAGGCAACAGTAGGGATGGACAGAGAGCCCTCAGGAAGCAGGACAGAGGGTGCAGGGGTGTCCTGGAGTGGGAGGAGGGTCACTGGGCCCAGCCTGGAACCCCACCCAGGACTTCACTGGGGGCTTCCAGGGAGGTGGTCTCAGGGCTGGGCCTTGAAGGAGGTGCAAGGGATTCACCTCCCTGGCATGAGCTCGTGAGCAGCCTGGAGGCGGGGGCAGGGGCGCCACACTGCCAGGGCCTCCGTCCCTGCCCCCAGACAATCTGCTGAGGAGCAGAGAGCCCTCTGGCTGCAGTGGGGGGAGGAGCGGCGGGGTGCCGGGCGGCTCCCGAGGGTTCTGAGTCTGGCACCTGAGGGGGAGGGGCAGGAGCATCTGTGCAGTGGGCGGCAGAGCAAGGGTGGGTTTGGGGAGCCAAGGACAGAGGCTTCCGGGATGGCCCAAGAGCCAGGGGAGTCCTTGGCATGTGGGGCAGACCGGGAACCTTGGCAGGTCAATTCCCCAGAAGAGGTTATAGACAGGGAGACAGCAAGACAAGAATAGGGGACAAATGCCCAGGGTGCGGAGGACAGCGTGCCGGGGAGGCCATCAAGGGGAGACAGCCCTGAAGAGGGAAGGACGGTGGGCGCTGGAGGGAGGGCTTGAGCAGGGGCAGCCCGCATAGGAACAGCCAGGGACAGGCTCAGCGGGGGTCGGGGGTGCGGGTGGGGAGAGATCCAGGCCTCCTGCTGCGGGGGGGGGGGGGCTGGGCTGGACCCAGGGCGGCAGAATTCTGGCCCCTCCAGCTGCAGCCCCGGCCCCACCTCACCCAACCCTGGGGGTCCAAGCTTGAGGGTCTCCCCGACCCCCACATCTCCCCAGCACCTGCACCTCTCTACCCTCCCCCCTGGCAGGGGCCAGCACTGTGACTACTTTACCAGAACCTTTGTCCCAAGTTCCCGGCCTGGACAGTTCACGCTGAGCAACATTAGGGGTGAGTCCTGAGTGATGTGGGCCCTGGGGGCGGGGTCCCAGGCTCAGGGTCCTCCCGGAGGGGAACGGACCTCCCTGAGCCTCCACACAGATGCTGTCCCATGTGGGGCTGGGGAGGAAGGAGCTGCTCCGTCCAGCCAGCCAGGTCTGACCCCTCGCTGTCCACCCCACAGCGTACCCTGGACTGCAGAGCTACATCGTGCGAGTGGCAGCCACCAACTACAACCAGTTCGCTATGGTGTTCTTCAAGAAGGTGTCCTCGGGCCGGGAGTACTTCAAGATCACTCTCTATGGTGGGTCTCCGGCCACCCCCTCCCGCAGCGGGACCCAGCTCCTGGTCACTTTCAAAGGAGGGGAGCAGCCCATCCCCACCCAGCCCCCAACCTCCCCTCCAGTGCCATCTCTGTCCCTAGCCCCCAAGATTCCAGGGGAAGAGAGCTTTCCAAAGACCCTCCATGAGGAAGGGGTCTGAGCCTCATTCATCCATTCCGCAATATTAACAGTGTGTCTCCTGGCCACTCACTGGCCATCTTGACCACAGGGAGGACCAAGGAACTACCCCGTAAACTGAAGGAGAAATTCATCAGCTTTGTCAACTCCCTGGGCCTCGACAATGACCACATCCTCTTCCCTGTTCCAATCGGTAATGGCCAGTTGGGCAGAGGGGAAAGGGACAGGGGGACCATCCCCCAGGGAAAGGGGAGAGGTGGGGATCAGTCTCCAGCTCTAGTCACTGGAGCCCCTTGGGAGCCACTTTGGGTTCAGGAAGACCACGCTGCACCCCAGGGGACTGTGGAGCCCCCAGGGATTGGGGGCCAAGTGCCCTTCCCTGGTGGACAGTTTGGGCCTCACCCAGATGAGCATCGCAGGCCCAAGTCCAAGTTTCCCCAGTCTCATTGCCCGGGGCCCACCCCCACTCCCCCTGATCCTGCTATCCTGGGCCTCACACTCCCAGGCCCCTTTGTCCTGGGCCACCTCTCCCTGTACCCCTGGCTCTGCTGTTCTGGGCTACCTCCCCCCTCACTCTGGAACTTGCTCACCACTGACTTGGGAGGTGCCTTTGTCTTCAGGCGATCTGGCAGGCTACTCAAGGAGCCACCAGCCTCTCCCCAGCAGAGGGGTTGCCAGGGCTCATAAGGTTAATACACAGGAGACCTGAGCGCCCAAGCAGGTGGCTGGGCCTCATTTGCCTCCTCTGGAGAATGGGTGACCCCCCACCCCCAGCCAGGTCTTCTCAGGCCTTTCTCCAGGTTCCCTCCCCACCCTCATCTGCCCCTCTGCTGCCCCAGCCCGGAAGGGAACCCCTAGATCTGCTGCTGCTGGGCTGGGGCCTGGGGCACCCCGGGGGCAGTCCAGGGGGATCCTGGTGGGCAGGGGTCACACACACAGCCCCTGCCCACTGTGACGGACTGTCTCCCCCACAGACAAGTGCATCGACGACCAGTGAGCATGTGGCGAGTACGGCTGGGGACAGGGCTGACGGGAGCCTAAGTGCGGTGGCCTGCTGCGCGTCTCCTGGGCACCGCTGCCCACCTGACTCCCTCAGGCGCCTCCGGTCTCTCTCCATCCCCACTGCCTTCCTATCAGCCTCTGCCCCAGATGCTGCCCAGCTGCCCCCACCAGCCCGGACACCAATGAGAGAGCCAGGAGACGCTTCTCGCAGTTCAGGCCACCAAACTGCTCCTGCAGCCACCCTGCTGATGGAATTGCTCCTTGACTGCTAAATAAACACATGCCCCCAGCCCCCGTCTGTGCTCCTTGCCCCCAGGGCCATCAGGGAGGGGGAAGGGCAAAAGGTGGCTCTCAACATCACTCCCAGACCTCCCTTGAGGTCCTTAGGGAGGGATGGAGGCCCCAGGACCTGAGCCCATCTCTGACGGGACTCTTCCTAGTATAATCCTGAACAATCCTGGGTCTACCGCCAGGTCAGTGGGAGCCTCTGCATGTCCTGACCTTTGAGGGGTACCCAGCTTAATGGAAACGCTGATGGGCCCACACCTCATGCCTACACTCAGCCACCTGCAACAGGGGCTAGAGCCAAGGCTCAGCCAGGGCCGCGGAGCTGCAGGGAGCAGGGGAGGCTCTGGTGCTGTCACCCCCAACTCGCCAGGACCCCTGGAAGATGGCAGCCAGGCCAGGAGGGGTGCACAGTGGGTATGGCAGGGGAACTGCCCAGCTTGAGGCTGTGCCAGGCAGAGAGGGTCACCAGGGTAGGCCCTTGCCCTTGTACCAGCCTCCTGCCCCCACGGATGGGTGGCACTGTCCATGCTGACCTCATTCAGAGCACTCTCCCTCACCCCCACCTCGGTGGTGACCTCTTGGACCACCAGGGGCAGGGCTGGGGGAGGTGAAGAGAGGCACATGCTGCTGGGGATCCAGATTCCAGAAGGCTGGAGGGCTCCAGGCCTGCAGCACCCCTTGACTGGGCCTGTGTCTGGGGCATGACAAGCTCTTGTCCACCCACAGGCTGCGGCTGTAGCCCCTCTGCGTTTGTATCGCGTACAGGAACTCCCTCTCCGGCCTCTTCTCCCCTGGCAAGGTCAAAGGCCAGAGACCAGAGGAAAAACATGCAGACTCAGAGATGCGCAACAGACCCTCAGGAAGACATAACAGATTCCCAGAAACATGCCAAGGCATGCACAGATACATGCCACGCAGACATAGCAGGTGGATGCAAATGCTCTTGCATGGAACCTACACAGATGCATGATGCACATGTCCACCTATCTGAGCACCCAGCTGCTCCCAGGCACGTTCCCAGCACCCTTTCAGAGCCAAAGATCCATCCCTCTCCAGGAATGGCCCAAGTGCTATCCGCCGCCTGCTCCGTCGTCTATGGGCACAGGCATCTCCTGAGGGGACTGTGAGGGTGTGGTCAGCCCCGCGTGGGAAGGAGTGGAGGCTTGGCTGGAGGGTGGCTGATTGGAGGACTGGAGGAAGGATGTCCACATCTTATAGTCGGGGGTCAGCTGACCTGTGTGAGGGACAGGTCACAAAAATTCTTCAGGCACTGGTTCAGCTGAGGCGTCACCTGAACTCAACCTGGTTCAGAGAGAAGAGGGTGGCACTGTCCATATGCAAGTCAGTGGTGGCCCTTATTACAGGCTGTGGACTCTCTCCTTCTCAAGTGAAATAGTGGGACAACTTCTGGGACAGAGAAGATCCCTCCCAACTGTCATAGTAAGGAAGCATAACTGGGCCTGACCCCTGGCCTGATAACAACCAATGTGACAGGATCAGGCTGCCTCCTGGTGGCAATAGTTACAGCGGTCCCAGTAAGTGAACCCTGTCCCCTAGGACATGCGACTCTCTCGTCTGGAGCCCGGAAGAAGATCACACCTCTGGGTCCAGCTCAGGAGCGACACTTGCTAGCTGGGTGACTTTGGGCAGGTCGGGGATGAGGGCAGCTGGGCCGACCTTATCCCGCAGCTTTCCTCGACCCACAGCCACATGCAGCCGTCTGCCACACAGTCCTTGATTCTCAAGGACGCTGTGAACAAAACTGGTCCGAAGCCACAGGAGGTCTTTAGAAACCGTGCGTCTTAGATTTCGCTCACACGGAGGCGCGAGTTGGTCCACATGCAGGTCTCCAGCAGCAGGACGGGGCAAAACGGGGACAGAATGGGAGGAGACACTGGAGGGTGTCACAGACTGACCCCGCCCCTCTGCCCAGCGCGCTCGCGCGACCCTCCGCCACCTAGGCTCCTCCGCGGGCAGTAGGGGAGCAGCCCCGCGCAGGCGGAGGGGGCGGAGCTGGCTGTGAGGGCGGGACTCAGGGTATGGGGCGGGGCCCGACTGAGGGCAGGGGCGGGGTTCTTGTTGTGGGCGGGGGCGAGTTTGGGGCGGAGCTCCGGCTGCCAGACTGCTGCCTTGTGGGCGGGGCCCCGGCTGACCAGCCGCCGGCTGCGTTCGTCCGCGCTGTTCCACCCTTCCGGCCTTGCGTTCCAGCCACCGCTTCCACCTTACACCCCGCACCGGCTATCGGCGTGACGGTCGCCTTGTTTCTGCGTCTCGTGGCCCCTGCGGCGCCCGAGCCTGCAATGTCGGGCCCCAACGGGGACCTGGGCATGCCGGTGGAGGCGGACGTGGAAGGCGAGGATGACGGCTTCGGGGAAGCAGGTGACTCAGGGGGACGGCAGAAACGACCTTTGTTTTCTCAAGGGTACCTTACGGAAAGGGGGAATCGGGACCGGGACATGGGTTTGGAGGCTAGGAGCCCTTCCACCCCCCGCCCCTGGGTGCGTTGCAGCTGCAGGCGCCGTCTCGGAGTTCAGGACGAGCACCTGCGAGTGGAGCCCTGGAAACCGCAGCATTTGAGAACTGTGTGCGCACGGCCCCGGTTTACAGATGGAGAAACTGAGGCCGCTTCAGGGACACTCGCCCTTTTGGGATTTGCTCCAGCCACTTCTCCCCTGTAGGGACGGAGGCTCCTGACTGAGGGAGCGGGGCCAGTGGGCCTTGGCTCAGCAGAAGGGGCTGCCTGGGTGGGCGCGCGTGCCTTGCTGAGTCAGCATCCTCAGCCACCTTTGCTGGTGTGGTCTGGAGCTCTGCCGAATGACTTGCTTGCAAAGCAGCCTGTTGTGTGCCCAGCACTGCAGTGGGTGGGAAATGAGGTGTGGAGAGGCATCAACTCCCTTCTCATCCTCTGGAGCCTGTTTCCCCATCTGTAAAATAATGATTAGTGTCTTGTACATTGAGATGTGTCAGGATTAAATGGGAAAATGAATGGGAAATATTTAGGAGGTCCCAAGATACAAGTGTTCAGTAAGTGGTTATCATAATTCCCTTCAGTATAATAAATATTGTTTTATTAACTTAGAGCACAGGACTTAGTAGACATGGGGTAGAGAGCTTTGCGTTTAGTTTTGGTAACAGTTTTATTGAGCTATAATTCACATACCATAAAACTCATCCATTTAAATTGTACAATCCAGTGGGTTTCAAAATATCCAGAGTGTGCACTAATGACCACAGTAGTTTTAGAACACTTAACATCAACCAGGGACTGCATTTAATAGAGGTAGAAGACCTCCCCAGGGGGAAAGTGGTGGGCTGGTCGCTTTGCCCTGGGCGCTGCTGGTGAACAGCTGCCGGATGTGTGTAAAGTGGCATCAGGAAGGGCCTCCGAGGAGTCACATTGAGTGGCCACTGGCAGATTCACAGGACTTGGCACGGTGTGGGGGAGGGAGGCAAAGGCTTGGGAAACGCCCTTGACACAGATAAAGCCTGGTCCCAGTGGTGTGGAGACACCGCCGCCCCCACCCTCCTCCTCGCTGTGTCTCATAACACAGATTGTGAGGTGTTGGTAATAACGATCATGTCCTGGCTTCAGCCAGACCCTGAGTTCTTGGTATCTCTGAATCCTCACAGCCACCTGGTTCTTATATTCCCCTTTCCAGAAAGGTGCAGTAACTTCCTGGGGTGGGCAGAGCTGGGGCTGGTGGGAGTAGAGTTGGGAAGCCCGAGCACCCTGCTTCCCAAGTCTGAATCTTGGCTCTGCCATCAACCAGCTGGAGGACCCTGGGCGGGTCCCTTCCTTCCTGGGCCTCAGGTTCCCCATCTGTACCACAAAGTGGTTGGGCTGTAAAACCCAGCAGAAACTTCCTAGGACTATGGCCTCGGCGAGGTGTGATGGGTGCTCTTCTGCCAGAATGCAGACACGTTTGCATCCATATCCCAGACATCTTCCAGCCCTAGCCTTTTCCAGTCGCTGGCGGCTACTTCCCCTTTGTCCCAAGCTGGCAGCAGAGTGTATCTGAGTCATGGACTGGCTCAGAACTAGCTCCCACAATGGGCACAGGCTCAGCCCTTGGGTCCTAAGGGACTTTGTGTTGCTGAGAGGTAGGTCAGCAGTGGCTGCGGAAGAGGGAGTGATGGTTTCCAGTGGAGACCAGGGAGGGCTTCTCAGAAGAGATGTTCTGAGTTGGTCTTTAAATGGCTGTTGTGGTTGAGGCATGTTGGGTGGCAGGGACAGTTAAGCAAAGGCAGAAAAACTGAAAAGTTAGAGGCTTCATTCATTCATTCATTCATTCATTCATTCATTCAACAAATGCTTATTGTGTGATAGTGAGGGCCTCAGGGAAACAGCAGCGAGCACAAGACCGTTCCACTCTCACAGAGCCCTGTAGTCTGGTAGGGAGGGCAGATCAGCACACATGTAACCGCATCAGTTGATCTGGACGTGGGGGCCATGGAGGTGTGAGGAGAGGGATCGGGCATGGAGGCCTGATCCAGCCTGGGGCGTTGGGAGGGCTCCCTGTGGTGACATCCATGCTGAGACTTGAAGAATAGGACTCATCCAGGAGGAAAGGAGGGAAGACAGACGGGAGGAGACGGCCCAGGCGGAGGCCACAGCGTGTTCAAGGGGCCTGAGGTGGGCAAAGGCAAATATGAGCGAGGAAAGGGGAAGGCATGGGAGGCGGGGCCGGAGAGGAGAATGGGGTCTCGGAGTCCTCTGGGTGCTTGATCCTAAGGGCAAAGGCCATGGAAGAACTGGAAACATGGCTGGGCCTGGGGGCAGAGGCCTGAGTGGCCTGATTCGGGAATGTGGGCTCTGGCCTGTAGGCAGATGAAGGATGTGGAAAGGAGATTGGCAGCTGGCAGGTCTTCCCAGGCAGGCCCTGGCTCACCCGCCCGACCACGCAAACCCTAGAAAATAGCATGGGAGCTACGGTATTATTTCTCCAAAGCCTGCCCTCTTTTGATATCCACCCACTTTCCAGATGGTGACATTGAGGCTTAGGAAGGAGTAGGGGCTTGCCAGAGCCCTCTTGGGGGCAGGCTAGGGGATAATGGTTGGGGGTGAAGGGTGTCTGTGAGCCCTGGGGAGATGCGGGATCTTGGCTCTCCTTCCCCTTCCTTCCAGAATATGCTGCCATCAACTCCATGTTGGACCAGATCAACTCCTGTCTGGACCACCTGGAAGAGAAGAATGACCACCTCCACGCCCGCCTCCAGGAGCTGCTTGAGTCCAACCGGCAGACGCGCCTGGAGTTCCAGCAGCAGCTGGGGGAGGCCCCCAGTGACGCCAGCCCCTAGGCTACAGGAGCCCCGAACCAAGCCCCAACCCTGCCTCCCCAGGCTGGGCTCTGGGCTGGACGCACACCACCTGACTTAGACACCTTCTCAAGGGCTGGCCTACAGGTCCCCCAGTGGCTCCGCCTGCCCGAGCCACTCTTCAGGGACTCCCCTTGGCGTGTGTGGGCCAACCCCCACCACCCAGCCTCCCCGCCTGGGGCCAGGTGTGGGCCTGCAACCCCTGGCCTGCCCGCCCAGTTCCTGGGCGCTCTCCATTCGCCCAGGCCTTCCATGTCCTCATTAAACGGGTCTCCAATACCACCGCGCCTCTCTCCGTATCCTGGGATGGGAACATCAGTGGCCGACAGGTGAATCAAGCAGTCAAGGCGTTCCAGGCCTTGCTCATGCACCAGCAGCTCACGGGCCTTGAGGTGGGGATGGGGTTCTTGCCTTCTTTATTTCTGGACACAGAGAGTACGGGTGAAGTCGGGACTTCCTGCCCACCTGGTACACTCCTGGCCAGCAGCTGCTTCCCCAGCCAGGCCGAGACAGCATCGGGCACGCTGGGTGACCCTGTGTGATGCGCTTAGCTTCTCCGGGGACTAGGGCCTTTCACTAAGATGCCAAGACATGCTGTGCAACCTTGGGCACCACTCTCCTGCTCTTGGCCTCCGTGTCCCCAGTTGGTCTGATGGACTATCCGTAAGGGTCTTTCCAAATGGGGAAATAGCAGAACTAAAGATCCAGCTCAGCCTATGCTCCATCCACTGATGATTCATCCCAGGGTCACCTGACGGGAAGGGCAGAGTCCCCGCTGGAGCCCCATGAACTCGGAACCAGAGGAGCAGCCAGAGCCCCCTGTCCTGCACTTCAGCTTCCACAGTATCCGGCTGGAGAGAGGCTAGCACAGGGGTCCAGAGCTCAGGCCGGGATCAAATCCTGGCCATTCACCAGATGTATGACCTTCAGCAAGTCACTTGGCCTTGCTAGGCCTCAGTTTCTTCATCTGGAATCTGGGGGTAACAAGACCTTCCTCCTAGAGTCGCTGTGAAGATTAAATGAGATCTTACTTGAGGGCACTCTCCTAGCCCTGATACATTATTAAGAGGGAAACTGAAGCTCAGAGAAGTGAAGTGCCTTATGATCCCAGAGTCCCTGGTTGGGGAACCTGTCTTGGGCCATGCGGTTTGTCCCCACACTGTGCCCAGGGAGGCTGGGCGCTGGCCGAGGCTGGCCGGGGTGCTCCCCCTCCCCCATCCACCCAGACAGACATGCTGGTGGGGACTAGACAGCCAAACTACCTTCTTTTATTGGATTCTGAGTAAAAATACCATGTCAAAGTTGCCATGCAGACTCCTAAAAAGCATAGATCTGGGCCCAGACCGGGTGGGTGTGGGGAGCTTCTCCTATCAAGTTTTGAGGCGGGCTGAGCGCCGAAACGGCGGGGGCTGGGGAGGCTGGGCCGTCACCTTGCTGGGGCTTTTGGCGGTGTCCTGGAGGCTGGGCTGGGAATGTGAGCGGCCGCTGGAGGTGAAGAGAGCCGTCAAGGCGTTGCGGGCGGTGATGGCGCACCGGCGGCTCACCGGCCTGGCGGGAGGGCTGGGGTTCTTCTTGGCCTTCTTGTATTTCTGGACACAGATGGTGCAGGTGAGGCAGGGCTCCCTCCCTACCCGAGGCACTCGCTCCTGGCCAGCAGCTGGTTCCACAGCCCCGCTAAGACAGCACTGGATGTCCCGTGTGACCGTGTGACCGTGTGTGTGGCGCTCAGCCTCCCTGGGCCGGAGCTCTGTGGCGAACAGCCTGGCCCCTCAGCACCCCTTCCCCACCCCACTCCCAGCACAGGAACGGCGAGAGCCCCGCCCCACCCTGATTTCCTACTCCATTTGTGCGCAGGGCCCCCCTGCTGGGAGGAGGTGCCTGGGGGCTGATGTCAAGCGCAGGAGGGAGGTGGCCACTGGCTGTCACCCCCATCAACTTGGATGGAGTCAGAGTTCTGGGCAGGGTGGGGTGGGGAGGAGCCCCAGCTCACCTGGAGGTTCTCGAAGTGGGTCAGAGACTTGCAGTGGGAGATCTTTGCCCCCGAGCTGCTGTGGTAGAACTTATGGCAGATGCGGCAGACGTAGCCCATCACGGGCACCATGAAGTCCACGCCTATGGGACAGCAGGGTGTGTGCCTCACATCCCCCACGCCAGCCGGGTGACCGCCCGCCCCAGGGGCCCCCTCACTCCCCACGGTGAGATACCATCTCACCCCTGTCAGAACGGCCGTCATCACTAAATCAGCAAGTGCTGTTGAGGACTGAAGAAAGGGGAGCCCTTTTGCACTGTTGGTGGGAATGAAGATTAGTGCAGCCACTGTGGAAAGCAGTACGGAGATACCTCGAAAACTTAAAAATGGATCTGCCTTTTTTGCGAGGGGACAGGCTGTTTGGCTAGGATGCTGTGGCTTGGGATCTGGGGGGTCGCCTGAGGCTGGGGTCAGAGCTGGGGTCTTACCATAGGCAGTGTTGGGGCTGTAGGTCTCTGAGTCTTTCCACTCCTCTATGGATATACCTTTGGACCTCACCTGGAAACATGCAAGTGGGGCCTCGGATCTGGCTTCCCCAGAACCTCCCACCCCCGAATGCCCTGGAACCCACTCATGCTCTTGAACACAGTCCCCCTTGACTTCGAGAAGGTTGTGGGTGGCATTCTCTGAGCCTTTGCACATGCTGATCCTGCCTCCCAGAGTACCCTTCCCAGCCTATACTTCGTAGACCGGCTCAATCAGTCCCGTCCTCCAGGAGGCCCTCCTGCTCCCGCAGTGGCCATAATCCGTGCCAGGGGTGCCCAACGCATCACACATCTCATTGAATCCTCACAACCGTCTACAGTTCACCAGTTTTACGTAAGAAGAAACTGAGGCCCAGGCACATGAACTCACTAGCCCGGTGCCATACAGCTGGTATAGGAAGAGGCAAGGCAGTAAACCCTGCCAGCTCCCCGAGTTCCTACCTGATGCTGCCGTGACCTCAGTCCCAGGGGAGGGTTCCAGGTGATCTAGGACCCCTCGCCTCGCCTGCTGGACATAAGCCCCTTCCAGGTGAGGCCACCCAACTCCAGCCACGTCAGCGTCACCATGCCCAGCAGTGCCTTCCACCACACAGCAGGCAAATAAACGTGGCTTCTAAGGGTGACAACCGCTGCCATTTGCCACCCTTCCTGCGACCCTTCCTCACAGCCTGAGTTGAGACTATTGCTTCTGAGCAGAGGAAACAGGTTCAGAGATGCCAGGGGCCCACCTGAGACACCTCTGCTGACACTAAGTAGCAAAGCCTCACCCCTAACCTGCTTGGGGCTGGAAGCCACCCTTGCGACCCTCCATCCGCAGTCCCACCACTGCCTTCTGCTGCCCCTTCATGATGGGCGAGGTCTATGAGGGCAGGGGCTGGGCCTTGTTCCCACATATCCCTGCTGTCCAGCACCAGGGCCTGGCCCGGGACATGTACTCAGGAAACCTTTGTTAAACTGAAAAGAATCCATGCTGCCCCAGCTCCTTGCTCATGGGAGGCAGAGTAGCAGCGGTGTTCCAGCACAACCTGGCATCTAAGTTGGTGAGATTCCACCAGGAACGTGCTTGGTACATGCCTGGCATACAGTAGGTGCTCCAAAAATGTCGTCTGCTCTAGCTATAATCCTAAGAGCATCTCGCACTGACGTTTCCCCTGTGCACCGCCTCGTTCCCCCATCCCTGCCTTTACTGATGCTGCTCCCTCGGCCTAGGATGCCCCTTCCCTTCCTTGATACAGGTCAGAATTTCAGCCAGGCTTCAGAGCCCTTGCTTAGTCCCCTGCCACCCTATAGTCATGGTGATACGCAGTTTCATAGTCACATAGAATATTCCCACTACTATTACTAAGTTGGAGCAAGCATTAAGTGCCTCCTGGCCTCCTGGGCTTGGGGTCCAGCCTCCACCCTGCCTCCCACATTCCCTCCTCCACCAAGCACCTGCTTGCAGAATTCCTCCTCAGCCTCGATCTCTTCTTCTTCTTCTTCTTCTTCTTCTTCATTATCGTCATCCTCCTCATCTTCGTCGTCCTCAAAGCAGCCCACAGCATCCACTGTGATGAAGTGATCCTCATCTTGGCCAGCTGCCTCCTTCTCGAACATCTTCAGCTGCCCAGGGGGGTGGGCCAGGGCTCAGGTCAGCTCTGGGCAGCCAAGGTGCCACACGGCATCCACCCCACACCCCTGGGGGTCCCAACTCCTGCTACGCGCTACGGCTGGGATACATCTCAACTTGCTGTGTGGCCTTGGCCAAGTGTCTGTACCTCTGGGCCCAGGTCCTCTGAGGAAGCTGGGGTTACCTCCTTGGCTTTGTCCTTGTGCCCCTGGGACTTGACGTGCTCCACAAACTTGCGGGGGGTTTTGAAGTAGCGGTTGCAAACAGTGCAGAAAGGTCTCAGGGACTGCTTGGCAATCTGGGGAAGGGAGGGCAGGCCCAGTGGGTGCCGGGCCACGTCCCCCGAAGCAGCCAGGCCGTACCCAGTGAGGCCTCGCCGGCCACCGGCAGGCCACCACATCTGTCATCAGCTGGCTGCCCTCTGCTCCTGTACCAGAACATGGGCAAACATGTCCCCCGCTGTGCCACTGGCTCCGAGATGGGATGGCAGAGGACAACAGAGAGAAGACAGGGAGAGAAGACAACTGCCAATAGGAACCCAAAGAGCCCCAGTGGCTGAATGGCAGGGCAGGTGGTGCCCTGCCCACAGTGGACAGACGGGGGGATGGAGGCCCAAAGAGGAAACGTGGCAGAGAAGCCACACTGGCGGACACAAAGACTGACACTGACTTTGTGTTCCCACCCTGGGCTCGCCCCTCCCCAGCCCTCGGCTCAGAGACAGCACGTGTGGGTGGCTTGGCAGCACGTGGGCCCCCGCACCTTGTGGTCCTGCGTCCTGCGATGCTGGATCAGGTCCCCCATGTAGTAGACCTGGCAGGTGTTGCACCAGCGCTTCAGAGGAGGGTCTCTGAATGATGACAATCAAAACAAGCACAGTATGACACTATGTTCTCGGAAAGACAGTAGCTCTCCCAGATACTCCGAAAATGGAGCACAGTTCCAACAGGATCTGTTCCGGAAACAACAAAATGGTTCTGCGCTTCATCTGGGAGAACACTTAATAAGAACCACCGAGGAGTCTTGGGGGAGAAATGAGATTTACAAGCATTTGGGATGCCAAAAGGTCACCAGGACAGTGACACAACTGAGAATACCTGGCCTTGAAAACCTCTCTTTCCCCTCCAGTTTAAATGCCCTGGGGTTCCCAGAGCTGCTCTTGCCCCGCGCCCCATTCCTGGACCTGTCCCCATCAAGGGAAGCCAGACCCCCGTCTGAGGCCCCAGAGCAACACTGCCACAGCACTGTTCGCAGAGAACTGTCAGACCGAACCCCTTCTCCACCCGCAAGGGGCTGCAGTGAGCTCTGGGGCGCCCAGGACTCCCGCCCGGAATCCCCAGGGCCTGGCCCAGGACCGGCCCAGAGCTCCTGGTGGATGGATGAAGGAAGCACAGGCCTCTGATCATGGCCTCAGGGGGCCAAGCCGGGATCCAGGGGAGCCCACCAGGAGACCACGTGACGAATCCCCTCCATCTGCAGCTTGTTCACAGCTTGGGCTACATCTACCCAGTGTCCTTGTGTCGTGAGATCTATCTTGATATCATCAAGTCCATTCTGCATATGCAGCTGGGAACCCTGTTCTCACTGAACGCTGCACGCTGGACATGTTTCTGCCTTACCATAAATTCCTGCCATGGTCCTGTGTGAGCTGTTCCACCACATGGATAAACCTTAACTGATCTAACTAATCCCCTAGTTGGATATTTTAGATCAACTCCAATTAAATTGCTTCACTATTACGTTCACTTTGCAAGAACATCTTTGTGGGTCACCTTTCGTCTGTGCTGGTGAATATTTCTCCCAAGTGTAACCCAAAGGTCAGTGCACAGGGGGAGGTTTGGAGCTCGAGAACATACTGCAAAGGCACACGGGGAAGCTCTTCTCAAAGGGAGACAGGTGCAGAGACAGAGCCGCCTTCGGAGAGGGCGCTCCCTGTTGCTCAGCCGCAGGGGGAACTGCAAGCTGCGACCCCCTGTGAGGGCTCAGGGCGAATCCCTGACCCCAGCCTCGGCCTCGGGGCCTGTCCCGCCTGCGAAAGGGTTTCCTTTGGCCTCCACAGGCTTTGTTTTGTTTCCGTTCTGAACTAGCTATTTTGAAGTTGGGAGATTTCACATACAAATCCGAGTTTCTGGATTCTTCTGAAAAAACTGGGAGACCTGAAGCTAAGGGGCCACTGTCCCATGAGACAGAGCCCAGGTCCCCCAGGGTGGCTGGAGCCACCGCCGACCTGCTGCCATTGCGGATGATGCCGCCCGGCCCCCCAAGCCTCTGTGACTGCTCGTAGGGGCACAAAAGGTCCTTCAGCTTCCGCCTTCCCACCCCAAGAGCGAGTCTCCGACTCCAGGAGGGCTGACACCTCTGTTTGACCAAGCACCCGTGACCATGAAAGGGGGAGACACAGGGTAGCCCTAACCTCAAGCCACAGGATGACCCGACCCTTAAAATCATGCCCCTGTGGGTGGGTCCACACAAACATCAGGGGAGCAGCCCCGTGCCACAACCCACTGCCTTCCCACATGGGTGGTCACACAGTTCCCGCCCAGATGGAACCTTAAGAAGCTGTCCAGTTCCTGAATTCCTGCATCACACTCCATAGTAGGCCATTTTACAGATGGGGAAAACTGAGGTCCAAGGTCACACAGTGAATGGTGTGCAGAGGCCCCTGGGGGAGGGCAAGGCCTGACACAAACGCAGACCTAGCAGACAGGAGGTGGGGGCCCCTCTCGGCCTCGCCCAGCCTGCCAGACTGCCCACCCCCCGGACCGGGCCCCCGAGCTCCCGCACTCACTCGTTCTCTCTGTCCAGGACGTCCCGGGGCACAGGCAGCAGGGATAGGAGGCAGGCCTGGCTTGTGTGCTGGATCTCCCCGAGCCGTTGCTGGTGCTGGGCCCCCGCCATGTGGTCCTGGAACTCCTACAACGGGAAGGAATCAGGGCTGGCCATGAGGGCTGGCCATGAGGGCCGGGCCCCGGCACGCGGTCAGCCCCGTGGCCGCCCCAGCACCGCCGCGGGGCCGTTTCTCTTACAGCAACTCTGTGGGTGCCAGAGAAGGATGGTAAACTGAGGCACAGAGTGAGCACACACCACCCAGAGCCCCTGCTCCCCCAGAGCCTGTGTGCGCGCCTCAAAGACAAGGAGGCGTCTGATGAACTTCCAGGTGCCCCGGCTCTGCTCTGACAGGGCACAGAGAGCCAGGGCACCAGCAGCACCAGGAGCGATAACACGAGTATAGTGCTGTTACTGATGCCACACTCGCTCCAGGCTGCGCCTGGGGTTCAGGACTTTACTGTCAAGTCACCGAATCCTCCAAATCGCCCAACGTGGTGGGTTCTGAATGTTTCTTCACCTGATCCATGAGGAAACTGAGGCACAAAAGGCGAACTCGCCTTCCGAGATCTACACAGCTGGTCGGGCCGATTCAAACCAGCTCTGCCTGACAAATCCTGCCTTCACGGCCGGTCGGAAAATGTGTCCTGAGCAGATGCCCGGCTGCCGGGGCAGGGCTCACGGGGCCCCGTGCGGCCGTGGGCCTGGGCATCCCACACGGACCCTCCACCCGGCTGACCCACCGCCCAGGCCCGGTGGCTGTACCTGCTGGCTGCAGCAGCTGGCCCTGCATATGTAGCAGAAGAACTGCAGGGCCTGCTTAGAGGACGTGCCGGTGGCAGCCGGGGTGGCGGAGGTAGAGTCGCTGGAACGGGGTCCAGGGGCGACGGATACAGTGCTAAAAGCCCGGCTGTCACTGCTCTGCAGGATCGTGACCTTCAGGGAGCCCCCGGCCCCACATGCCTGCATCAGGAGCAGAAGCAGAGCTACCACCAGCTGGGTGCTTACGGTGAGCCAGCTGCGGTACTAAATACCTGTGAGCGCGGTCTCATCAAGCCCTCCCAACAGCCCACTTTACAGATGGGGAAACTGAGGCTCTGAGCTCTTGGGTGATTGCCCAAGCTCACACAGCTAGGAAGCACTACAGCCAGGATTCAAACCCAGGCCCGCCTAAATCTAAAGCCCACCCACCCACACGCACAACAGGTGGAGAAACACAAAGGGAATGGGTTCGGCCACAATCCACTGTGGAGCACAGCTAGGACCCAAAGCCCCAGCACAGGCTGCCACTCTTCTCTCCGAAGAGCGATGCTACCCACATGAGGGTGCTCGGGGCTCTGTTTGGGGTGAGCAGGCTGGAAGGGACTCTTGTCACCAAAGCACCTCCAGGTCCCAGAAGCAAAGGCATGTGAAGGCAATGCAACAGCACAAGTGTCTGACGAACCACAGTCAGACCCGCTCTCGCCTGCGCACAAGCCCAGGTGGAGGGCTGTGGTCGTGTGTTCCATGTGGGGAAACGCGAGGGCCCTGAGCGGGGCTGGGACAGTAGGCGGCCCTCCGACTGCTGGGCACTGCGGTCCTTAAGCTGCCGCATTAGCATCTCTACCTACCCTGAGCATCTCTCTTGCTCTTTTTTCACATTCTCCCACATCCAGGCCACTAGTCAGCTCTTCCTGGCTCTCCTCCATGCTGACCTGGGCGCCCACTGGCTCCGGTGAGGCCTCCTCCAGGCCTGGAATGACAGATGTGCTCCGTTTCCCAGGGTCCATCTCCCACCTGACCCAGAGGGCCACCTGCCTTGAAGCCTCTGGTGTGAATGTTCCCAAACCCTGGTTCTGGGTCCAACCCTTGGTCCCAGGCAGCGCTCGGTCAGGGCTGGACAGTGCCAGGGGAGGCAAGAGGGGTTTGGGCAGAGCTGTCCCATCACCAGGCCAGCTGGGAACCAGTGCTCCCTTACCTGCTCCAGCTTCTACAGTATTGGGCGGTGTCTCCAGCGCAGGAGAAGGAACCAGAACAGGTGCTTGCTCCGATGCTGGCACCTGTGGCTGCGTCTGAGCTTGCCCCTGGGTCTGGTCCGATGGCTGCACTGGCGACTGCCCTGGAGGTTGCTCCGGTGGCTCCTCCGATGGCTGGGCCTTTGCCTGTGTTCCTGGCTGGACCTGCGGATACGTCTGCGTCTGTGCCTGCTTCTGCAGCTGTGGCTGCGCCTGCCTTGGGGGCTGTGGCTGCGCCTGCCTTGGGGGCTGTGGCTGCGCCTGTGGCTGCACCAGCTGCGCCTGTGGCTGCAACAGCTGTGGTACTAAGTGCTCTGGAGAGGTCTGTGTCTGTGCCTGCTTCTGCAGCTTTGGCTGCACCTGGGCATCCACCGGTGGCGGCGCCTGCAGCTGAGTCTGTGGCTGCACCTGGGCCTGCATCTGCAGAGCCCGCGGTGGGAACCGTGGCGGTACTCGGGCCTCCGGGGGCTCGGGCAGCAGCTCCGGTGTCTGCGTCTGCTTCGGAGCTGTCAGCCGGGCCTGTGGCTGGACCTTCGCCTGCAGCTGCCCTGAGGGTCCCTTCTCTGTGGGCTCCTCTGAGCTAGGAAGGACCAGAAGGAGATCAAATTCATGTCTTCCAAGTGGCCTTAAGGGGCTCCCTAGAAAGGCCGAGACTCAGGTTCCCATCATCACTCCACCATGTTCAAGCCGGGCTCCCGGGCAAGCCCGTTGGCTCTCAGGGGCTTTACCTAAACAAACTGGCAGGATGGCTCGCTCCCACCTCCCACAACTTCTAATATATATCCAAGACTACCCACCCTCTGCCACCCTGAGGTCCCAGGGGCACATCTTCCCCCCTGCAACTTGGCCACCTTGTCTGCCTCCAGGTGGCTCAGTCACAGTGAGGACGCCAGGGTCTGTCTGGCCTGGGGCCTTCCCTGGCAAGGTGCAGAACTAGGTTTGACCTTCCTCCAAGCCAGGGGCCAAGGTGCCTCCCTTGCTCCGGCTCCCCTGAAGGGTCCTGCCCCCACCTACACCCACCCCCTGCCTTTGTGGAAATGAGAACCCAGGGCTCCTGAGCCCCAGCAGGAGTTCAGAATCAATTACCTCTTTGACCTTTTTGCTGGAGGCTCCGATGCCTCCTGCAACTCTGGCTCAGGTGCTGAAGTGCGTTTCTCCTTAGTGACGTCATCTGGGCAGGGAGCAGAATCTTGGCCTAGAACGAAGGGCAGATGAGAGACTGCCACGACAGGCTAAGCACAGTCAATCTCTGGGAGACAGGGCCCGCCCCCACCAAGATCCCTGCCTCCCAGACCCGCCTCCATTACCAGCCCTTCGCCCACCCGCACCAACCCACGTCCCCTCCGAAGGGCCGGCAGCCTCCCTCACCTGGTGTGTCCGTTCGGGGCTCTGCAGCTTCCTCAGACCCCTCTGGGGGGTCTGCCTTGTCTTCCATAGGCATCGTCTGAGAAGAAGAATCCTGCTTCCTGTCAGAAACCGTCTCTGCCATCTGCCACCCACCCCTGTGAACACATTCCTGCCCAAGAGCAGCTGTCACAGGCCCCCAGGACACAAAGGGGCCTGGGGACCTCCCGCGGGCCTGGCCCCAGAGCTGCCGAGAGATGTTCTTAAACACCCCGGGAATCATGTCTAGGGAGTATCACCAGCTGCCTGACAGTGAGGTGAACCCAGCTTTGGGGGATGCAAGCCTTCTCCTGGCCGCGGTGCCGTCTCCTGGCACCTTGTTCTCCACGAAGCAGCCACAGGGATCGTTCTCAAATGCAAACCTGGTCATGTCTCTTGTCGCGATCAGGCTGAAACCCCCCCGACTTCTCGTAGGCCTGGAGCACCCCTTTTCACCCCAAGCCTGACACCACATACCCTACCTCCTACACAAAATGACTTCTGCCCCCACACCCAGCCCTCCAGCCTCGGCTCTCCCCATTCTCCTCTTCCCCCTTCTACACCCACACTGGCCTCCTGTCTGGTTCCCAAAGCCCAGCCAGGGCCTCACCCAGAGCCTCAAAGGTACTTCTTGCAGGAAGCCCTCCTGACCCCAGAGCAGGTCCAGACCCCTAGCACAGGTCCCCAGAGGGCAGTTGGCTCCCCTACTGTGGCACTTTCCACAGTCTTAATTAATTGGTGGGAATGTTATTTGCATTAATGTCTTACTCTCTTTCCCAGCCCAGGATCTCCAGGAGGGCCAGACCACTGAGACCCCTGCAGGGACTTACATATGTTTGCTAAACAAATGTTTCCAGCCCCACCCCCCAAGGCAGCCCCAGGAACCAGTACTGAGCTGGGCTGAGTATTGAGCTGGACCACGTGCCCTGTGAGGACTCCTTGCTCTTCGGGAACCACCCAGCTCTCACCCTGCATGACACGGGCGCCAGCCAGCCTTCCAGTCAGGGTCTTTCTCAATGGCTGTGCAGCCCAGGGCAACCTCCACCCCACTCTGTGCCTCAGTTTTCCCATATGTAAAATGGGTGTGTGTGTGGCTGGTGTGGCTCAGTGGGTTGAATGCCAGCCTGCAAATCAAAGGTTGCTGGTTCAATTCCAAGCCAGAGCACATGCCTGGGTTGCAGGCTAGGTCCCCAGTTGGGGGCATGTGAGAGGTAGCCAATTGATGTGTCTCTCGCACATTGATGTTTCTCTCCCTCTCTTTCTTTCCCCCTTCCCTTCTCTCTGAAAATAAATAAAATCTTTAAGATAAATAAAATAAAATGGAGGGAGAGGTTGGTCATAGACAAGACCATAGACAAGTGGGGAGAGGCCCACTGGCAGGTCAGAGGCTGTGACCCCCCTCTGGGGGGAAATGCCCCGCCTCCCGCCAGGGGCTGCCCCAGAGCAGGCTCTGAGGAGCCTGAGCCAGAACGCTCTGAGGGGCCTGGTGTGTGTGAGGAGCTGCCAGGACGTCCAGGGACAGGACGGTCTCAGGGAGGACGTTATTCCCTTTGCAAGTCTCTGTAATCTCTGTGCTTATGTGGGGGGAACTTCCCTCTGATCCTCTGACCAGCTCTCCCGCCCTGGGGCGGGCAGGGGCGCTGGCTCAGAACCGTCAGAGAACAACACCTTTCGAGTTCAGAACTTTACTGTTGTTTCACCCTGATGACTTTTCTTTTACACGTTTTGAATTTTTTAGCTTGTGCTATGTTTCCTTTTTAAATAACTGAGAATAGGCTAGTTCACTTAAAGCAAGCCCAGACAGGAGCCAGCAGCCACAGGCGGGTGGCTTTGGAGCACTTGAAAGGTGGCGAGCCAAGCTGAGGCTTCAGCATAAAATAGACACCAGATTTTTAAAGACTTAGTAAACATACCTAAAAAGGACTGTAAGATGCCTCACTCATTTTTTATAGTGATTATATAGTAGAATGACAATTTTTAATATATTATATTAAATATATGAATAAAATTAATTCCACCTGTTCCGTTTCACTTCCTTAATGTGATTACTAGAAAAATAAAATTATATATATGGCTTCTATTTTACTTCCACTGGGTAGCCATTTTGTTGCTTTTAACCCTCACCTGAGAACATGTTTATTGATTTCAGAGAGAGGGCAAGGGAGGGACATAGAGACAGAGAGAAACATCGATCGGTTCCTCTCGTAAAGGCCCCGGGGACTGAACCCACGACCCAGGCGTGTGCCTGACTGGGAATCAAACCACAATCCCTTGGCTTATGGGATGATGCTCCAACCAAATGAGCCACACCAGCCAGGGCTAAGCAATGCTGATTTTAAGGAGAACTACTAGAGTACACCTAAAACTAGTATAGTGTTATATGTCAATTATATCTCAAATTTTTCAAAAAGCTAAATTTTAGGTAAATAATACTACTGGTAGTATTTGGACACAGCAAAGATTGCCTCAGGCGCTTAGGAACATTTGAAGTTTGGGAAACACTACACAAATCCCATCTACCTCCTGCCCTTTTTACAAATGAAGAAACTGAGGCACAAAGAGGGGTGTGACCGGCCCAAAGGCCCAGCATGAGCCAGAGCGGGGAGCTGGGTCGATACCCGGGCCAGCCCTCTCCCATCCCCGCCGGCTCCAACCCAGCCACCACTCACCTTGTGGTCAGGGGTGGTAGAGGGGGGCGTCCGGGCCTGCTTCTGGGGGGCCCGCCCTGAAAGCATGACCTTGGAGGGGTTTATGGGGACCCTGACAGGAGGGGGGCCCAGCAGAGACTGCTGAGTGGCCTGGGGAAAGAACTGCTGTAGAGCCGGGGTGGCCAGCTGTGGGGGTGTGAGGTTGGGGGCTGTCAGGTTCGGGGTTGCCAGGTTGTAGCTGCGAAGGTTACCTGTAGGCAAGAACATGGGAGAAGAGGGATTTTAACTGGGGTTGGGCTAGGGTCAGGGGTCAGACCCCCAAAGCACCACGGGAACATTACAGATCATTTCAAAAGGACCTCTTCCCACCCAAGGTCAGCCAATGGGGAGAGATAACAGCTGAGAGTCCAGTCCCACTTTGGGCACTGGTGGGGAGGGGCGGTAGGGCTGGTTTCCTGCTCCTGCTGGCGAGGCGTGGGACACCGCCTTTTCTCTCCCGATGCCTCCCTGGTCAGGGGCTTGAGCAGCCCCAGCAACACTGCTCACCCTCAGGGGTGCACCTTCCAGTGCGTGAAATATCCAGCACAGGGCCCGCAGGGCAAATGAGCAAGACGACCAGTCCCTGGAAGTATAAGACCCTCTCCCACCCCCTCCAGCTACCGTGGGAACCAGGCGCTTGGTAAGGACTTCCCACGCATGACTGACCAGCTGCGCAACTGCCTAAACTGCTTCCCACGGCTCCCCACCTGGGCACACCGGGTCTCCTTAGGGCCAGGCGCCTCATCAGACTCGGAAGCCCAGTGCTCGGGAAGTGTCTGAACCGTAAAAGCCGGTTCAAATGCTTGCGCCAAGGCTGGGATGAGAAGCACAGGGGTTTGGGGCATGGTTCCGACGTGCCGTGAGAGCTGGTTCAAATCCAGGCTCCACAGTACAAGCGCTGTGACCCGAGCAAACCAGCACCGCCTTCTAGGCTCAGTTCCCTCACCTGGGATAATACCAGTGCTTGACTCACAGAGTTTTATGAGGATTCAATGACATATACAAGTGTACCTTGTATATAATAGTGTTCGATTAACATGAACTTAAAACAAATACATATACGCGTACGTGCAGAGAACGCCAATCAGCTCTTACGATGAGATGAAAGACGGCACACTCCAAAAGGAAAATAACAAAGGACATGGACAAGTCACAAAAAGAAATACGAATGCTTAACAGACAATTACAAAATGTTAAATTGCACTAGCACTCCAAGGAAGTAAACTAAAACATTGAAGATATATGTTTTTTTTTTGCCAACCGAATTAGTAAATTATATGTATATATACATATATATATATATAAAAAGCATATAATACCCAATGTTGCTGTGGGCATGGAGAGACCGGTACTGTCATACGTAGCTGGTGACATTGCAAACTGGTCCAGTCCTTTGGGAAAGCAATTTGGCAACACTTATCAAGGGCCGTGAAATAGCCATCCCCCCAACCCCGTCACCCTCCTCTTGGGAATTCATTCTAAGAAAATAGTCTCAAACATGATATTCACCCCAGTGCTATTTAAAACAGGAAAAAAAAATAGCTGAGAAGGTTTAGGTAAACAAGGGCACATTCCCTCCAGTGGCATATTAAACAGCTGCTAAAAAATAATCCTTATAGAGACTGTCAAATTTTATGATAAACGATCATGCTATTCTTTTCAGCAAAAAAGAAACAAGGTACAGCCTTGCACTTATATCAAGAACCACATCAAATACAAATCCCCAAGTTGGCGCCCAGAAAAAAATGGGGAGCAATGCACCAGAGCCGTGGCAGGCGGTTCTTTTCTTCAGGAGGTGAGTCTGCATACGATGATTCTGGGGTTTTTTAATCCTCTTTCTAAAATATTCTTTTCACTTGTCTTTGAAGAGTATAACTTTTAAAATGGGGAAAAAAGGGAGGCAGGAGTATGTATGCACACGTTGTGGGTCCCTGTGTGTGGTTTTCTCTCTCCGCTCATCTATCTGTCATTTCTTTTATTGTTGATTTTTTTATTGAACTTATTGGGGTGACATTGGTTAATAAAATTATATAGGTTTCAGGTGTACAATATTATCCGTCATTTCTAAGTCAGCTCCCAGAGCCATTCACACCCATGTGGCCCTGGCAGGGCTGAAGGGCGACGGCCATCACATCTTCTCTAGTAGGACCTGGGCTCTAATTCTCCCTCTAATCAACACCTGCTTGTTGTGTGACCTTGGGCACATGACCCTTCTCTGGGCCTCAGTTTCTTCACCTGTAAAATGGGATCATGAGTGCACCCTCCCTTAGGGTTGTCAGCAGAGTCAAGGAATTGGGTTTGTGACGGCCTCGACACAGTGCCCAGCCCCGCAAGTCACACCAACCCTGCGGGAGGGGCTGGGCCTGATCATGAGCTGGCCCTGGGTCACTGGGTCTCTGGATTCCTCCCGCAGGGGCTGGAGTGTCTTGGAAGGAAGAGCTGAGAGACTGCTCTCCATATGGGGAAACTGAGTCAAGGGGACAGGCTTAAAGCACAGGGATAGAGACATCCACTCAGAGATCCAGGGGGTCTGGAGGCCCAGGCCTTGGTCTAGCTCAGCCACTGCTGGTGCTGTGTGAGCCAGGGCAAATGACTTCCCTTCTCTGGACGTCAGCTTCTCCATCAGTCCAATGGGATGAGGAGGAAGATGGTCAAAACAGATCTTTCCATCCAGCGTCTCACCTAATATGAATGTCAGTAAAGTGTGCCCGCTGCTGTCCGCTGAGCCAGCCCCATGGCCGAGGGCACACGTCTGGGATCAGATAGACCTGCGTGCCACGGAGCAACTTAGGGACTTGCACCTCCTGGGGCCTCAGTGTCCTCATCTATAAACTAGGACGCTGACAGTGGCCCCCTCTCAGGGTTACTGTGTGGATCTGCTGAGGTTCAGTGCAATGGGGCTGCTGGGAAGCTGCCACTAAGGAGGAATGAGAGGGGCTGCGGTCATACCTTGCAACTGCTGCAAAAGCAACGCTCTCTGAAGCACAGAGCCGTTCAGGAGGGAGGCCGAGTTGGTGCCCTGGAGATTCAGAAGCTGCTGCTGTGGCTGCTGCTGGGGGAGCCCCCTGTGTGTTGAGAGCAGGTATCAGAGGGTTACTGGGAGAGTTAGAACTACCCTTTTTCTTGCGACCCCTCACCTCCATTCTCTGCCCTCCTTGAGGCAGAGCTCAGACAGGCATGCCCTTGGGAGAAAGGGCTGGGGAGGGGTCTCCAAGGCGTGGATCTGAGTAGAGCCGTCCAACCCCGCCCCGAAGGGGGTGGGGGAACTCACCTGCTGATGGCCATGGGCAGCGAGGCCTGCGGTGGGGACTGCTGCAGCAGCTGCTGGAGCTGCAGCAACTGCTGCTGCTGCTGCAGGTGCTGTTGGAGCTGCTGCTGCTGGAGCTGGTTGAACATGGTGGCTGGGAAGGAAGGGGAGTAAGGCTGGGCTGCCCGTCACGGGACCAGCCAGCGCTCCTCCCGTCCCCGGCTCCCACCCCAGCCCCCGGGCCTCAAATACTGCTGGCTAAGCTTTACACTCCCAATCCTGCCCAGAGCATGCCACATTTGCTCGCTGCCCCATCAGTATGTCCCCAATTCTGCCAGCAGCAACAGGAGTCAACCACCCTCCCACCAATTCCCCCAAATCCTGCCGACAGTCCCCCCTTCAAAGGCTCAACCACAACCTCCGCCGCTCCAACTCTCAGGGCTCCATCCTTCCAGGAGGAGCATCCGACCCCAATACACCTCCCCCTGCAGCCTTTCTCTGCGCGAACTGCTCACAGATTCCAGCCCTTCCTGTTCCCAGCCAGCTTTGATACTCCCACTCTCTCCTCCCCTGTGCCTCTTTGGTGTCAAAAACAGCAGAACTCTCACCCCAGCCCTCTGCCTTCCACTATCGCCCAAGAACAAAGTAGGAAAGAGGCTCCCCGCTCGGCCCCGCCCCCCCCCCCCCCCCATTCCGCTAATACTTCCTTGGCAGATACAGCAGCGTTACACATCACCTCCAGTAACCCCGCTGCCGGCAAAGCCCGCAGCCTCCATTCTAATGTCCCCTAAGCCTTTGGTCCCCGCCGCCGTCCTCGGCCCGCGAACCTCGTCTCTCAGCGCGGTTTTGACCGCGGGTACTGCAAGACCTCCTCCCCGCACCCCCTCCGCCGTTGCGTTGCCCCCAGGGGCAGGGCGGGCCGCACGGTGGCCGGGCTGCTCCGGGCTCCGGTACTCCGGGGCTCCGGACACTCCACCTGGGCCTGTCCGCTCAGAAGGCCGGTCTGCAGGCCAGGCCGGGCAGCGCCCTCTGGAGGACCGGAGGTTCCGGTGCCGCGGGCCGCGCAGCGAGATCCATCTCCGCGCGCACGTCACGCTGCGGGGGCGGTGCCGGCTCACCTGTTGGCCCCGCGCCTGCCCGAGCGACTCCCGGTTGCCGGGGGGCCCTTGGCAGGGCAAACCCTTCGACCCCGGTCGTCTGCATCCGGAAGGGGCGACTCAGCTCAAGATCCGTCTGTCGTCCAGAGGGATCTGTCGTCCGGGAGGGACATCACGGGCGACTTCGAGAGGGACCGTCCCCAACCGACCTCCCCGCGGTCACCACTGTTCCGCGATACGGGGGTCCCGCGTGGGGCTGAGATGGGAAGGGGCGTGCAGTCGACCGCTGGACATTCGGGAACGGAGACTCGGCGAGACGGCGACCTGCACAACCTGACAAAATGTGCCCCAGAAAAAAGTCGGGAGGTCTATTTGAAAGTGTTTTACGGGTGAAGAGGCCTGAGTTCAATGATAGAAAACGGCGCTCATCCGGACCCCGACCCGGTCATGTTCGGAAGGGTCCTTTAATTATGATTCTGTCCCTCGTCCCGACACCCCACTCCTCCGTCCCTACACGGAGTCGCTGAGCCAAACAATCCGTGGTTGCTAAGTAGCAATCCCTGTTCCCTTTGCTTTTGCTCAGCGGCGTCTGTAACTGTTAACTGCTCTGGGCAATTGGCTTCCTTTACATTGAGCGCAGGCTGTGTGCGGGCGGGGCACACGGTGGCGCTAGGGACGCACAGGCCCGAGGCCGACCCAGCGTGTTCAGGTAGCCGAGACCCCAGCGTTGAGCAATCTGCAGTCATGTGACAGGTGCTGCCCTAAGGCTCAGGACCCGCTCGCCCTCCTGCCACCCCGCAGGGGCGGGGAGAGGGAGGGGCGCCCTGCAGGTGCCTAACTCCGCCCGACTTAGAGGCGCCAAAGTGGCTGAGTGTGGCCGGAGCGCGGGACGATCCGGGGTCAAGGGAACGTTACTCCTTTGGGTGAAAGGGCAACCTGGATAATGGTGGCTTTGCAAGTTGGCCTGAGGAGTTGGACTTTATCTCTGAGGGGCAGGTAGCGCTAAGGACGGGTGCAACAGAGTCACACGATCATAAAGCTCATTCAGGTGAGAACCAAGACAGAGGAGGGCCGAGTCAAGCTCGCCCAGGCTTGCAGCGAGGCCGAAGCAGGGCTCTGGGTGCCCGCATTGAAGTCTGGGCTTGAATCGGGGCTCTGCTGCCTTCTGCGTAGGCGACCCTGGCCGTTGGGGGAGTCCCCTGTGAGCCCGTTTCTTCATCTATAAAATGGACATCCGCACGCAGGGGGTGTGAGAGTGACATTACATAGTATTTAGCACCGGCACCTGGCATCGAGTGAGCCTAGCAAATTGCCAAAGATTTTTTTTTTTTTTAAATCCAACTAAAAATAATGTTCGTATTGGGGAAGGTAGGGAAGCCAGCGCTAGCTTCCTGTGTTTCCTGCTTTCTGGAAAGCAATTGGCAAATTCTCTATAAAGACTCTTCAATGTGCTCTGTCCTTTGACTTGATAACCCCACTTGGAGGAATCTAGCTCAAGAAAATAATAGAGAGAGGAGTTTTTAAAACCAGCAGGTGATTTATAAAAACATTATAATAGCTGTCTGGAAAATAATCAACTTTAGGGGAACAACTAAATAAATCATGGTATCTGCTTCTAAGGAATGGCACACAGCCATCAGACATTGTGTTTTCCAAGGATATTTAAACACAATATGATACTAAGTGAACTCAGCAGGTTACAGAACTGCTTACACATGGTGGTCCTGGTTTTGGAAAGAATAAATGTGTGTGTAGGGGACTCATGGAGGGGGTTCACTTTCTCTCCTTTTTTTTTTTCCTAATATGATCGGTTTGAATGACTTTACCGTGGGGAGGGAGTGAACGTTTTTAAAAATGTTGATCTCGTGCTCCCTCCTTGGAGACCAGACAAGACACTGATAGGAAAGCTCTGAGGACACGGGCCAGGGTTAGACTCATGTTAATCGCTTTGGATCAGCCCCTCACAGGTGCAGCCGCCCGTGGCAGATGTTTGGGGGAAGGAGAGAGGCCCCGCCTCTGTGTGGACCAAATGAAGTCTGAGGCTGCAGCGTCAGTGGGAAACCTCTTCCTTGCCTCGAACTTGAGATGCATCTTTATCAGGACGTAAACTTTCATGCTTGTGTGGATCTATGTGCAGAACGATTCTGCTTCAGGAATCCACCTGTCTCACTCCATGATGAGGTCACACAGTGTGACTATTACAGCTCTGGAATATATTTTAATGCCTGACAACACAAGCCCCTGCCATTATGCATTATAAAAAATGTCTTGCCAATTCCCATTCCTGTAATTTTTTTTTCAGGTAAATTATAGAATGATTGTGTCAAATCTTCTCCCCCCGCCCCCCCCAAAAAAATCCCATCAGAATTTCGATTGGTGTTGCATGCAATGTGTTTAGGTTGGGGACGAACTGACATTTTTACCCTGAGTTTTTTAGTTTAAGGATGAGGTGAATGAATGTCTCCATTTATTTAAGCCTTATGTTCCAGTAGGATTTTGCAGATTTCTCAGTCTAGCACCTGCACAGGGTGGGGGCTATTGTCACTATTTTCCCACTTTCTCCCCAGCTAGTGATTATGGTGTCTTTATCTTGTAACCAGCCACCTCCTTACCTGGCATTATATCTGCCCTCAGTAACGTCATGTGCCCCTCAATGGCAGAAAGCAGCTACTGAGTTGTCCCCGTGTCCTTGAGACCCAGCTCAGAGCCCTTCACGTCCCCGGTGCCAGGGGTTGCCTGGGGAAGATCAGCTCAGTGAATGAGTGGAGGAGTGAACGAATGGCTCCGGGAGGCAGCGTCCTCCCTGCGCCCTCGGGCTGGCGCTCACCGCAGCAGCTCTTCCCTCCTGGACATCGAGGCCATCCCTGGGGGCGGTCCCCCCGAGGCCCCGGCGGAGCACACCGACACAGGAGTAGAATGAGCCCACGACCCGACACCTAACTCAGACACCCCGGGAACAGGCTGTGCACAGTGACAGCTCCAGGAAGGACAAGAGGCAGAGAAAAATATCAAGCCATATGCTTACCATGTGGCCTCCCCAGTATCTGTCGCCCACCTGTGCCTTTACCTAAAACTAAACATGGGAAGTGGCAGGATGGGCGTTGTTGCTGCCCCCACCTTCCACGGTGACTTGGAACGGGGCACCTCCAGACTCAGGACCTTGGTCTGGCCATCTCTGCCAACCGTGACTGCCTTGTGGGTAGCAGGCTTTTCCTCCTCCTGTCCCCTTATCACATCCAGCCATGGTGGCTGCCTTCTGCCCCCCAAAGAAACCAAACCTTCCTTACAATGCTCTCCCCTGCCTCTCACTCCTCACCAGGCCAATTCCTGTCCCGTCTTCCCAGATCATTTCAAACGTCAGGACGCCCTCACCGGCTGCTGGATATGCCCTCCAAGCCCTCTGTCCACAGGGGGAACTGGGCAACCGGAGCTCCCCAAGCCTGAAATTCCCACAAGCTCAGCCAGCCAGGGGTCGCACCGGCCCCCCGTCCAGGCCTCCAGGCCCCGCTCTGTCTCCCACGAATCCCAGCGTGTGCACTATCCCGTGTTCTTCCCCTCAAGAGATGACACCTTCTGCTACTTTCACAAAACTGAAGTTTTTTCGGACAGCACAATGGTGATCGTGGCAATAATTACATCAAAGCTCTAATTATTCACTGTTCCAGGCACCGGTTTCATGTTTTACCTAAATAACTATTATATCACTGAATGCTCCTCGTACAACCCAGTGAATTAGGTAATATCATTAGCCCCTACGCACCCATGGAAAAAATGAGGGTCAGGAACATGACTTGCTCAAGGTTATTGTGTTAGAAAGTGGCAGAGGTGGGATTTGAACACCAGGCAGGCCAGCTTGTGTGCTGTGCTCTTGACGCACATGCACCTTAACCATCAGCACACAAGGGCGCCTGCCTTGTTCTGGGCTGATGAGGGGTTCCTCCCTGTAAGACAGGGCGCTACAAGCACAGATGCCTGGACGGCCAATGCCCAGCAGCCCTGGGGAAAGCTTGGTGCTCAGCCCCCAGCCACGCAGAGGAGGGCGCTGTACGTAC